TTTTCAAACCCTAGTATATATTTTCTTGAATATATCAAGGAGGGGGAGGAATGGCAAGTGGAAAATGGAAAGTTGTTCTATTGCACAGTAGGGTGGCTGTAGATAATATTATATTTCAAAATAGCTTGATTAGAAGATTTTGAATATTCTTTACACCAAAAAATTGTAAATGTTTAAGGTATTTGATGCGTTCATTATTACCTGAACCCCAATCATTACATAATAAATTCATAAGCCCAAGAATCATGTTGTGACACGTAAATACTAGTTACTATTATACATCAAATAAAATAAAATAAAACAGTAAAAAAGAAATAGATATTCTTTGCCTTTTTTGTTCGTTTTTGGTGCCATCCTGGGACATGAACTTAGGGCCTGAGCTCTGTCCCTGAGCATTTAATGCTCAAGGCTAGCACTCTACCACTTGAGCTACAGCTCCACTTCTGGCTTCTTTTTTGGTAGTTTATTGGAGTTCAGAATCTCTCAGACTTTCCTGCCTGGGCTGGCTTTGAGCCACAATCCTGCAATCTTAGCCTCCTGGTCAGCTAGGATTACAGGCATAAGCCACTGGCACCCAGCTAAATTCTTTGCATTTTGAGAGTCAATCTGATTTGAAGCAATAACTATCCACTCTGGTAAATAATATATCTGATACATCTGAATTCATCATCTGATTCTTTATGTCCAAACAATATATGACTGAAATAAAAAGGAGTCATTTATTTTGATCTGGCTTGTGAGGTTGGTAAGTAAACACTTCCTTAAGATGTGTTCCCAAAAGAAATATTGAGACAGATCAAAGCAAAGAATCAGTGGGAGGTTTATTTTTTTTCCGCAAGAATTAGTATATTATTTTCAAAGGAAGATATTGAAGTAAGGGAGATGAGAACACACACGTCATTAAGTAAAACAAAAATCTCAAAATACAGTATTTTCCACAAGAAAGAAGCCAGGTGGGAACACCCACCGCATATGTAGATATTGCTTTTTTTTTTCATTAGACTAGACCAACATTTTCTGGGTGTGTACAGTCGAGAGGCTTTCGGAATCATTGATGTAAAGGAGACAACTTGAATTACGAATCAGGACATAGGGTTTTGAATCCTTTAACTACTTACTCTTGTTTGGGTAATTCTACAGTAAAACAACACAAGCAAACAAGAATCTTTTCGAGCAGACTTTTGTTTGTTTTCATTTGGTATTTCACTTGACCAATGAGAAGCTAAGGCTAGATAACTCTAAATATTTTAAGCCCTAAAGCTTCTATAGTGAAAGACATTCCTTAAATCTCTAAAATTTTAAAGCACCCTGTTTCCTTTTATTACACAAACATCTCCTATTTCCATATACCTCCTACAAATTTAATCCCTTTCACAAAGAAACAGACAGCTGCATCATAAGAAATTATTTGTCTGATAATGTCCTGCATGCAGATGGTTCTAACCTGTGGGCTTCTGATGTCTCGGTGTTCAGTCTCCTTTATTTTCTAATGATAGAAGGGGAAACATTGAAATACAAAAGAAGGGAAGCAGGAAGGGAAGGCTCGCTGTTGTTGGGAATGGCTTAGGATGTACCATTTGTGTTCCCTGTAGCTAAGGACCCTGACTCGCTCCAAAATGTGAACATCTCTGTCATCTCTCAGGCTGAGTGCCACAATGCCTACAAAACCCAGGAGATTACAGACAAGATGATCTGCGTGGGCATTGTGCCAGGGAAGAGGCTGCCTTGCAAGGTAACATACTCTCCGTGGCTTTATCTTCTTCTTCCTTGCATCTTTTTTGCCAGAACGATAGCCTAGTTTTCTCTTTTCCTGGTAGGAAGTATCCTCTGCCCCAGCCGTCTGCAATGGGGTCCTTCATGGGATCCTAGCTTACACAGACGGATGCATCTTGAGAGCTGATGTCGGCATCTATACCAGCATCTTTCACTACATGTCCTGGATTGAAAGTACAATCCAAAACAACTGAGCTGCCACCGCAGGAATTCTGGGCCATGGAACAGCGCATGTCTCTACAGCTAACCTCAGCATTAAACTAAATGGGCTCCTTAGACTGTGCATGCCTAACTTACTTCTGAGCATCCTGTAACATCGAGATGACACAACCATCCATCCTCCCCCATAAGTAAAGATAGAAAGCACAGCAAACCATAGGCAGCTGGAGTCTACCTAGGGGGTCATTATGTAATTGAAACTGACAATTGGCTTATTGGAGAAAGGTCCACTCCATAACTGCTTGCTGAACCAGTCTCTCCCTTCTGCTTATACTGAATTCAACGATGTGTTGTTTGTCTTCCAGTGATTTAAATACATAACTTCCAAATAGGTCACCTGACAAGGAGTGATGAGTGAGTAGCAAAACTGGTGGAAAGAAGTATTTGGTTTTTTGTTGTTGTTGTTTTTTGATCCGGTCGTGGGGCCTGAACTCTGGGCCTGGGCGCTGTCCCTCAGCTCTTCAGCTCAAGGCTAGCGCTCTACCACTTGAGCCACAGCACCACTTCCGGCTTTTTTTTTTTTTTTTTGCTTATGTGGTGCTGAGGAATCGAACCCAGGGCCTCAGGCATGCAAGGCAAGCGCTCTACCACTGAGCCACCTTCCCAGCCCCAGTGGAAAGAAGTATTTAAGAATAAGGGCTGTAAGACACATTGCACTTAATTTCTCCTTGTCAACACAACTCATCATTGGGCCTAGATATGTTCTAGTCATTCATTTTGCAGGATTCTGGGCAGCTACTTGAAACCTGAGAGGTTAATGCAAAATTTAACTGGGTCTATGACATGATAGATACAGTCATTATGTATACATAATATCAGATTGTACATCTTACAATATACACACGTATATATGAAATAGCGATATCTGTATTTACATATATATGTGTGTATATATATCCAGTCTTCCACTTTCAATAACTACAAATGGAACTCTCTAGAACACTGTCTTTGTTTTTTTACTTTTCAGTCCTCAATCAAGTGCCCAGAGAAAATTGCCTATGAAAATCTCTCAGACCTCTACTGGTTGAGGGCTACAGAAGGAAGGCAAAAAGAGGGGAGCAAAAAGAAAAGAAAGAAAGAAAGAAGAAAGAAAGCAAGCAAAGAAAGAAAGAAAACAAAGAAAGAAAGAAAAAAAAAAAAGAAGAAGAAGAAAAGGAAGAAGGAGAAGAAGAAGAAGAAGAGAAGGAAGGAAGGAGAAAGAAGGAAAGAAAGGGAAAGAGGAAGGAAGGAAGGAACGAACGAAGAAAGAAAGAAAGAAAGGAAGGAAGGAAGAAAGAAAGGAAGGAAGGAAAGAAGAAAAGAAAGAAGAAAGAAAGGAAAGAAGGGGAAGGAAGGAAGGAAGGAAGGAAGGAAGGAAGGAAGGAAAGAAGGAAGGAAGGAAGGAAGGAAGGAAGGAAGGAAAAAGCTAGTTGGACAGCTGGCAAAATAAAATTGGCAAACATGTATCACAGAAACAAATGCTGGACAAAGTCAAACCCATATGCCCGAGACAGAGGGGCTTTCCTTGTCTTTCTTACTTTCCCAGAGATTAAGTGGTTGATGGAGACTCGCGGAGGATTGTCTCTCACTATAAAATATACACCCAATCCAGCTCTGGCCTGTCCAGTTTTCAGCTCCTGCAGTGTGTCAGTCCTGGAGAGTTGATTTACTCACGTTATTTGGCCTCTGGTTTTTCACTGATTTGTGTTTAGGTTCACAGCAGGCAGCCGCAAGGCTTGATTTCCAGACTCCGTATAAACAGGAAGACTTGGAAGAAGTCTGTGCAACATCTGCCATGACCTGGCCTGTCCCAGTGACGCCTCTCACCCCCCACCCCCACCCCCCGGCCTCTCACCTGGGTGGCAAGGTCTCTCAGCCCAGGCTCTGGTTGGAGCACACCCATTCCTCCTACCTGGAAAACTCATCTCCAGCCCCCAGCAGTTTCTGTCTGCCCTCAGTTTCCCTTTTGCTCTTGACACGAGAGCGTAGATCTGAAGCCACATGTGTACCCTGGAAGGACATTTTGTAGTCATTTTGGTTTGCCGCTGTGTGAGTGTGCTTGTGTGTGAGGGAAGCAAGGAGGGGAATGATTGATGCCAAGACCCAAGGAACAGGGAGGGAGGGAAAACGGAGCGACGTGAGGTCCGAGCAGCCACACCACGAGTCTCTGGTGACCCCATTCCGCTGTCAGAAAGTCAAGGAGGTCTTTGTGGAGACTTCTGCTCCCTCCGTGGCACAGATCAGCTCCGGGGCAGGAATCCCTGTTTCTAGACAGCAAAGAGAGAGAGAGAGAGACAGAGACAGAGAGACAGAGACAAGAGAGGAGAGGAGAGAGAGAGACAGGGAATTGGCCAGGTAGAAAGCTGTCTTTCTCATCCATACAGCATGTGAGGAAAATTGGAAACACAAGGCCACAAAAGTGTTGATGCCAACTTAGCCCCAGGCTGCCAGGCTGCCCCAAGTCAATGACACCCATATTTAGAGATCATTCTGTGCAAAAGAGAGTTGGGGTGACATATGGGTGGACCAGGGAAGGGAACAACAAGTCCTGAAGGCCAGGAGCCCTGCAGAAGTGCTAAGGGGAGCTCTCCCAAGGAACGCTTGGCTCTTCAAGGGGAATGTGGGTGAATGCTGCCCCCTGGTGGACAGACGCCACCCTCACCACAGGTGCTGAGAAATCTCCCCCGTGTTTTTTGCCCACAGCCCACATCCTCTTTGGCCAGTCTCCCAGCTGCATGCCAGCTGCGTGCCCACAACGGGTGTACACTGCTGATCTGTTACTGCTCAGTCCCTGTAGCATGTTGACCTTTTATAGGTTTGTGAGGATAACAGCCTTCCCCAAAGCTTCCAACTGGGAGAGCCAAAATCTGCATCCAGAAGCTGGGATTCAATTATTGTGCAGTTCAAGTAGAGAAAGGCATCCAGGAGACTCACATGTGGTTGGGGCAAGTAGGGGGTGGGGAAGAAGCAGGCTGGGGCGGGCTCTGGGCAGAGGAGGGCGGAGGGGTTGGGGGTCTGCTGTGTGGTTTTTATTCAAATGCTCCAGCAGGGCTTCTCACTGTGTCCTGGCTGCAGGTGCAGTACAGGCTTCTGTCCTGGGTCACATTAGCCACTTGCAATCTTAATTCCACGTCATTGACCCGTGTGGCCAGGTAGTCCGCTCCAGGGAGGGAGATGACCTCCTTCTCCCCAGGACTCCTTAACATAAACAAAAACTTCAGCTGCCGCTGGATATCTTGCTGGAACCAGCTCATCCAAGGGTACTGGGAATTCTTCAGGAGACAGCGCAGAGTCTTAGCCCCTCCACGTCGTACCACAGCCCACCGGGGCATTTGCTCCAGCAGGTGTGCGGTGGGATCTGAAATACAGGCAGGTGGAGATGAAGGCAGCTGGAGTTACCCGAGGAGTGCCTGACTGAGCTAAGACCTAAAGACAGAGACTCAGGAACCACGCTGGTAGGAGCCTGCTGGGAGCAGAAGAGACTGTGGACCAAGAAGAGTGGCTGCCCATGGAAGCAGGCTGGCAGGTTAGGGTTAGGAAGGCAATTCTCTGCCTATGGTTTTTCCCCCTCTCCACTCCCTGGCTGGCTGCTTCTGCTTGCCATCTGACCTGCACTCACGACAGCCACCAGCCCCCAGACACACAGCATGGAAAACGGCCCCATCCTCTGGCACCTCACACTCCTCCAGAGGGTGTGAGGCAGAGCCAGCCAGGAGAGAGAGAGCCGCAGCCCACCCTGGGTGAAGGCCATTGGTTGGCAAACTGGGTGTAGGCTTCAAGAGGGCTTGGCTTCATCCGGACAGCCAACATCTTGTTTAGTCTGAAGCACAAACCTCAAAGCAAAGGTTTTCAGGCTTCCTGGCTTAAAGAGCTCCACCGTGCTTGTGCATTCCCATTGACACCCCTGCAAGGGACTTAGTCCTGCACCCCCTGGATTGCAACCGACATGTCCCTGGAAGGAATTCCAATGTGGATCCTGGATTTTTTCAAGGGATCAACACATCTCAATGCCAGGAAACAATACCAAGAGAACTGAGCAGGCTTTTCTCACCCCCAAGGCCTCACCACATACAGAGGCTGTTGTAGGGCCACATCAGACAGTATGACAATGGACTTTCAACTCTGTGAGGACAAATGAAAACAAGAGGCCGCATCTCCCCTTTCATCTAGAATTAGCTCTGACTCCTTGAAGTGTGTGCAAATTTCTGAAAGGCCACATAAGTCCTTTGTTAGTTGTAAGACTCAGGGAGCATATTTTATTTTTCTCAAGGGATTGGGAATGATTCTGAAATGTCATCTTCAGGGAATGTACTCATCCTTCATTTTCAGATTCTGAAAGAGATGAAGCCCTCATTTAGGAGGTACCATAACTTAGGAAAGAGCACAGTGTAGAAGTTCAAGTTCAAGCTGACACCTGACACTGACGTGCAAATCCACCTTTCTATTCTGAAGGTATGTTTTACATTATGGCTATGGCAAACACTGGTGTCATCACAGTTGCCAGGGGTGAATCTAGCGTAAGGTGGTTGTGACAGATGGTGGCTGAGGACTCTTTATGGTTCACCTTGAAAATATATATATATATATGTATGTATGATGCATTGCATCTGCTAGGGCACAGCAGAGGGTGAGATTCCTGGCTTTATAGTCTCTCAGTGGGTCGAGACTGACTGGTATGTGTCACATTCCAATTTAATGCCTTTTCACTAATAAAACTGTTCTTTTCTTTTCCCCTTATGGAGATTTTTCTTCTCTTTTTGTTTAGTTTGAAAATATTTTAATGATTTAGTAATTCGTTTGCTATAAGTAATTTATTTTGAGTAAATAAATTATCTAGGTATAATTGCACAATAGTTAACAATACTTTCCCAATCACACATAGGAAGGTCACTCATATGTAGTACAGCTTTGGCCGCCAGTTCCCTCATCTGAAAATAGAAATCATACAGAGAACTCTTTCATAAGAATAAATTGATCCATACATGAGAATGGCTTAGAATAGGCATTGGAGAGTATTGCTTTTATTGTTGCAATGGAAAACTTTAATTTCAATTAAAATGTGATGGAATTAATAGTAGTAATTGTCTTCTATTACCCATTATGTAGGAACTAAGATTGCAATACCTAGTCCCAAAGACCTCTTTATTAGCAACCAATTTGGAAACCAATGTCTAGGAAATTCAGTTGAAAAGGTCCTGTTTAGTTTCAGCATGTCGATATTTGCTAGGAAATTGTCCATTTCTTCCAGATTCTTAAACTTATTATCATAAAAGTTTGAGAACTATTCCCTTATAATGTTCTGAATCTTGGTTGTTTCTATGGTGTTTCCATTCTCATCTCTGAGTTTGTTTATTTGGGTGTGTTCTCTTCTTTTTCTGATAAGATTTGCTAAGGGTCTGTCAATTTTGTTAATTTTTTCAAAGAACCAACTTTTCGTTTTGTTGATTCTTTCTATGTTTTTTTTGGATTCTAACTCATTCAATTCTGATTTAATTTTAATTATTTGTTTCCATCTACTGGATTGGGGTTTAGCTTGCTCTCTTTTTCAAGGAGCTTCAGATGTCTCATTAAATTGTTGGTTTCAGATCTCTCCAATTTGTTGATGTAGGAACTCAGAGCTATAAACTTGCCCCTGAGTACTGCCTTTGCTGTGTCCCAGAGGAGCTAGTCCTGTTTCTACCAGCTCTCCAAACTCAACATTTTATAGAAAACAGAGAGCGAGACCAATGTATCAACTCATCTTACTGTTTCAAGGCCTGGAATACAAGGTAGTTCTGCCCATCATAAACCCTGGATAGTTATGGACAAGACACCAGATTCATCTCCCTAAGGAGCTCCCATGTAGAGCTTAGAAAAGGCCTCATGTCTTGAGTGAGGAAGCTGGATGGGTCCAAGGGAACAAATGGCCTAGACATGAATAAATGGACTCTTCAGTTCTGTCCTGAGAACCCTGCTTCTTTCTTAAGGACGGTGATCTGGACAACTGAGCAGACTGCCAGATAAGGAATCTTAGGCTCTTCTCAATTTACAGAGCTGGCTGTCCTGTCTCCCTGCTGTGTCCCTACTCTCCTTTAGCCTAATCCTCAGATGAGATTGGGATCAGGGTGTATTAAATACTCCCGTTATCTCTCAAGGTCATTGTGTCCCTGGAAGTTCTGCCTTGTCCTCTCTTCTTGGCTGAGTCCTTATCTTGGGCCACAGTAAGCCTCTTGCTTCCAAGAGGCTTAGTTCGCTGCCTTCTCTTCCAGGCCCAGAGGTGGAGTTTGTGTCTGGTCCTTTGAGAAATTTGTTTATTCCCCTATTACATCCCCAATTACTACGCAAGTGCTCACAACAGCCTTACCAGCCTTTGAGCTCAGGAAATACTTCAGTGACTATGCCTGAACTGATTGCATGGACAGAACATCATAGCACCTTTTCACCCTTCCTTGAGTTGAACTCCCGTGTGGAGATACACAACTCACTGCATATTGCAGAGCTCTGCAGGGTGCATCTTCCAGTACCATGGAGATTGTGTGCACTCTGTATGTGCTCTGGGACCAGGGTCACACGAGGTGACTCACTACCCTGGATCAGTTGTCTGAGCCACCAGGAGAAAGTAAGTCTGCACCTAGAGCAAGATTAAGAAGCAGTCTGAATATGACACCAAGAGTTGGGGATTTACCTCTGTGGCAGAGCACTTGCCTGGCAAGTACAAGGCCCTGGGTTCAGTCCTCAGCTATGAAAAACTAAAGAAGAAGAAAGAAAAAAAATGATATCAGTTTTCTCCCAGTAAGAACACACTATGGTGGAAAAGCTTGAGCGAGTCTGCTGCCCTGTGGCTATCGGCAATGACAGTGCTCTGGGCTCTGGTATTAGTTCAGTCACTGGCAGCGGATGTATTACACACCATTCATGCTCCCAAGGTGTTACCAAAAAATTAGATTGCACTTGCGTGCAGTTGAGTGGGCTTCAAGTTTCTATGTTTCCACTTTGATATCCCAATATCCCTTTGGTGCTTTTGTGGCTTGTAAAACCCATGGGCTTGCAGGGAGAGTCATGAAAGGCAACTCACAGAAAGAAGAAAAACAAAGCACAAATATCCTGAAGGGAAATTCATGTCTGCTTCTCATTTCTCCCTCTCCTTCCCCTCACTTTGTCCTCTCCTTCTTCCTCTCTAGGAATCAAAGCTGAAAATCAGAGCTGTTCCAGACCTGCCCGCCAGAATACCAATTTCAGCTCTTTCACCTCTAGGTGTCTTTTGTGTTCCCTGCTAGCAACTTCCTTGCTTCCTATGCTGTAACTGGCCAAGGCTGAATGGCTGGGTTAATTTGCCCTCCTGCCTCCATCCTGGACCCAGACAAAAAATGAGCTATCTGAGGATATAGCATGCACAGGAAGGAAGGGCGGGAAGGAGAGACACAAGGGAGGAAAAGAGAGGAGCCTGAAAACCTCCTTAGCATTGCTGAATCTCCTTGGGCAAGACATCGGCATGGAATTAAGCTGGGAAATGTGATTTACTGCTGACAATTTCATGCCAAGTCCCTGCTTCAAGGTGAGAGAAAACTCCCAGCTCCACTCTCCAGACACATCTCACTCCAGTTATGTAAGTGGCACCACTTGGAAACCAAAGGATAATCAGCTCAGCAGAGTCCTGGCCTGCCCCTCCCCAGTGGCTCCAAGCCAAGCACAGGGAGAGGCTCATATAAGTCCAGAGCTCCCGAGTGTTCATCTGCAGGAGAGATGCTCTGGGCCCCAGGAGCCATGAGCTGTGTCCTTCTCTTCGGGCTTTTCCTACTTCTGGGCCTGGTAATACCTTCACAGGGCAGCCGCCTGGGGCCTACATCTCCCCTGCGCTATTCCAGGTTCCTAGATTCTTCCAATACAATTTTCCTGCGCTGGGACTTTGATCTTCAGACTGAGATCATCACTTTTGAGCTCCAAGTCCAGACAGCTGGTTGGGTGGGCCTGGGCATTACCAATCGTTACACCAATGTGGGAGGCGATCTGGTGGTCGGAGGAGTCCTGCCCGATGGCAAAGTCTACTTCTCGGTAAGTCTGAGGGTGACTTCTGGCCAGAGGCCAACTTCCTGTCTGGGTTGAGGATGTCTTCATAACTTCATATTTTCCAACCAGGTCCCCAGCCCCCTCTATAGCCTCCTGATCTCTCTGCAGAGATGGTCCAGTATACGGTTTGCAATCTCTCTTCCAGCACACACATTGCCAAGGCTGCTATGAGAAAAAAAGGTTTAGGATGTGGACACACTTTGCTAATAGCCCAGTAAATTCAGGTCACTGGGGAAAATTCAAAGCTGTGGAAGATACAGCCCCTGCCCTCAGTTTCCCTTCAGCTCAGTCAGCTGGATCACAACATTAAATTCGGCAGCAATGGCCTCAGTGTCTTAAACCGGTTAGATACTCTGGTTTCAGCGGGCATGGCTCTGACTTCTTTTCATTTTAAACTTCATAACATCACTATGAAGTATATGATCATCGCAATCCTCATATTTCAGATGAAAAAGGAGCTTCACTCTGCTTTCCAAATCGCACTGATTCTGAGCTCAGAATCACTATCTGAACCACACTGGCATAGGAAAGTTTCTGTAATATAGTGTAAGGTAATATATGTGAAGAGCCACATGACAAAGGATGAATGGTTTTGATGATTCTCCAAACAAGTGAGTTTCCAAAGGTCATGGAGGTAAGATTCGAAACAGGAGAAGCAAAAGCAGATCATGAGGTGAAATTCCAGCAGACATGGTCAGTCTTCCCGAAGAATCCATGTCTGGCACCATGCTGCACCGTAGGTGGAAGCTACCTCACAAAGCAGACCTGGTTCCACTACTTCAGTACCTTGAGCTTGCTAAGAGGACACTCACTGCCCCAACGCATGATCGCCTGGGCTCTTGTTCTCACTTCTTGGCCTTCCCTGGACTCTAGGATCAGCACCTTGTAGATGAAGACACCCTAGAGGAGGATGGGAGCCAGGATGCTGAGCTCCTGGGGCTGACAGAAGACGGCCTCCACACCACCATGCGCTTCTCCAGACCCTTCCGCTCCTGCGACCCTCAGGATCAAGATATTACGGTAGGCCACAGAGAGGAGAGAAGCAGCTATTCTTCCTGCTGAGATGTAATCGCTGCCAATCATACAGCCAACTGCACTTCTCTAGAATGCAATCCTTTCCAGAAGTGTTATCATTCCTAGGTATTACCCCAACCCCTCACAGGGTCACCTCCTGGAGATTCAGTGCCCACCCTCCCTCCCTCTCTCCAAGAACCCTGCCAGTGTCATTTAACGGTACAGTATTAGGATTTCCAGTTAAGTCAATTCTTTTTTATTTTTATTTTTTATTTTTATTTTTATTTTTTTGTCGGTCGTGGGGCTTGAACTCTGGGCCTGGGCGCTGTCCCTCAGCTCTTCAGCTCAAGGCGAGCACTCTACCACTTGAGCTACAGCGCCACTTCCGGCTTTCTGGTGGTTTATTGGAGATAGGAGTCTCACGGTCTCTCCTGCCCGGGCTGGCTTTGAACCACGATCCTCAGAACTCAGCCTCCTGAGTAGCTAGGATTACAGGCGTGAGCCACCAGCGCCCGGCTAAGTCAATTCTTTGATTTACAGATATAGACTCCGGCACTGAGGGGAAATGGCAGAAAGACACTGTGTTCAAAATGACCTGAAAGATTATCTTTGGAGACAGAATAAGTACTGGCTCCACTTTACAAGTTCTTTCCACCAGACGGTGGTGGCTCACGCCTGTAATCCCAGCTACTCAGGAGGCTGAGATCTGTGGGTCGTAGACTGAAGCCAGCCCAGGAGAAAAGTCCCCATGAGACTCTTAACTCCAACTAACCAACTCCAAAACCAGAAGTAGAGCTGTGGCTCAAAGTGGTAGAGCACTTAAGCAAAAGAGCTCAGGGACAGTGCCTAAGCCCTGAGTTCAAGCCTCATGACTGACATCCCCTCCTCCCCCCCAAAAAAGTTCTTTCCATTCCCCTGGGCAGACATGAGTTGCTTGCATAGGGCCTTGGCTACAAGGTGTACAAAAGGCTATTACTGGTGTGCAGCAGCCCCTCAATGCTCATGACACCCCCAGAGCGACACCATGAGAGTCCTGACCGCCTACGGCCTGGATGACACACCCAAGCTTCACCGGAAGCGAACCTTCGTCAAGTCCATTTTCCTGCTGCAAATATTCTATCATGATGACACAGATGCTCCCGAAGATGCCATCATCTATGACCTGGAAATCACAGATGTGAGACCTGGGGCTCTACCTACCTGCCCCCAGCTTCCTATCCATCTCCCCACTCAACCTAGACTGCCCCCACTTCATACCCAATGTTCAATTCATTCCTTGGGGGCCATGTTAATGCGGCTTCCCTCGTTTCCCCGAGTACCACTAGTCTAGCTCTAAAGCAAATGCCCTGGCTTGCTCTGTTCCCTCCTCTGTTTCCGGGGAAGCCCCATTCCCATCCTATTTAGTGTCTTTCACCCTCTCCCAGTTCCTCATTCCAGAGGCAGACACCACATATGCCTGCACCTTTCTTCCTCTCCCCATCGTCAGCAAGAAGCATCACATCTACAAGGTACTCCAGGCAGATTGGCTGGGGAGCTACAGATTGCACTTTAGCTACAGAAGGCACTTTAGCAGAGATATGGGCACATTGTGCCCTGAAAGATAGTATCCAGAAGTTTTCTGGGAGGAAGCAAAGCGGAAGTAGATGGTAGGGAAGTCAGGGGAGGGATCAGGTGGGGCTTGGTGAACAAGGAAGCGACATCATTTCCTGAGCCCAGAACCCACTCAATCCTCACATGCGGTGGACATTACATTGGAAGCTACTAGTTAATAAGTGTTTTCTAAGAACCAGATTTATCCTGCCTCAGAACTCTGATTTCTTAACCTAGAAGGAGGTAAAGTCAGGAGGAGATGTGGTCAGGGCTCCTGGAAAGTAAGCAATCTGACAAGAAGAGTGAATTCAAACTTGGTTATTTTACTTCAAATTTAAATAATTCTGTTTTGATTGACCAAGTCCATAAAAATATGATGTTTGACAAAGTGCTAAAGATGTGGGAAACATGTTTTTTAAGGTAGAGGTGCAGGCTTGAAGAGTGTAACCTGACTAAAGTTACAAAAGAAAGTCAGAAGTCTTGGAAAACCTTAGCTGCTTTAGCACCATGTGCTATGTTTTTGGGGAGAGGTTCAAGAGGCTTAAAAAGAGTCAAACAGAGCTGGGCAAAAAGGTAGCTTGGGAAGAAGACTTGAGAATGATTTAGAAATAGAAAACAGCCAAGCTGTGAGAGTAAGGATTTGGCAGAGGGAAATCCTCACTGAGTCTTGCTCTCCTTTCTCGGTACAGTTCGAGCCCAAGTTGCTGGCCCACAATGAGACGATGGTGCACCACATCTTGGTGTACGCCTGTGGCAATGCCAGCACACTCCCCACGGGCATCGATGAATGCTATGGGTTTGATGCCGCCTTCTCCCTCTGCTCCCAAGTCATCATGGGCTGGGCTGTTGGGGGCCCTGTGAGTCTTGTGATGCGAAAACGTGTAGCGATGGGAGGAGCATGTTATTGGACAATGGGGCTGGTAGAAATCTAGGAGATAGCAAGGTCTGGAGTGAGGGTTAGAAAAGGAGAACAAAAGCCCTGGATTCCCGAGCCTAGTCCCCAGTTCTTCTTGCAGCCACATTTCCCTCCTCCTCCAGAGCTACCAGCTTCCTGATGAGGTTGGCATCTCTATTGGGACCCCCTTGGATCCTCAGTGGATCCGACTGGAGATTCACTACAGCAACTTTCACAACCTTCCTGGTGAGCTTCCCCCGAGGGCTGAGCAGAGAGAAGTTCCGGAGCATGTGCTCTCCGATTGGTCACACCCCACCCCAGCTTCCTGGGCCTGACCTCCTGCCTTCTGCAGAGGTGGTTTCTTTCCCTACTAGGTATCTATGACTCTTCAGGGATACGTTTATACTACACCTCTCACCTGCGTAAATACGACCTAGGAATCCTGGAGCTGGGCGTCTTAACTTTTCCCATCCACTTCATTCCACCGGGTGCTGAATCCTTCAAGTCCTATGGGCTGTGTAAGACAGACAAGTTTGAAGAGGTGAAGCTGCCTGCCAGGCCTTGCCTGAGGGTTCTCCATTTCCCAGGACAGCTGCAATCTGGTCCCGAAGCACATATAGCCTGAACACCAGACCTGGAGGATGATTGGAGCCTGGTGCTTATAGGAAAATGACGAACGTCAATCATGCAAGGGACAGGATGAGTCTGGGATCCTGGGTTGGTGGGAAATGGGATAACAAGAGGGGCAGAAGGGCTTAGTAAGAATTGAGGAAGTTCTGGTCAGCCACATGAGGAAGAGGAAGGTCAATGTTCAGTAGTAATATAGACAGAGCTCAAGATCAGAGTTCTTAACCCGTCAAGTGTGCCTCCTCCCTGCTGCAGATGAACGGAGCTCCAGTAAGTGACATGATCGTAGCAAGCTACCTCCTCCACACTCACTTGGCTGGACGGGCTCTGCGGGCTGTGCAGTACAGGTAACAGAAGACCGTGGTTGGAAGCTCTCTCTTCTGAATATGGGAACAGATATTTACTTTTCAGCATGAGGGTATACTCAGCTGGGAATAGGAGGAACTAGAACTATCCTTCAAATCGAGACAACCAGAACAAGGCTGTGTAGGAAGGAACCTTTGCGTGTATTTTGGGGACAGACTGTGTTCGCAGGGACTCCAGCATACTGCACCTTTCTACGGCGGGCCTCCTCTCTACTCCATCTTCATCCCAGACCTGCCTCCTCTCCTTCTCTCCTTCTAGAAATGGAAAACAACTCCGGACAATCTGTAAAGATGATTCCTACGACTTCAGTCTGCAGGAGACACGAGATTTACCTCATCTTGTGGACATCAAGCCGGTGAGAGCCGGGATGGGGGTGGGAGGCGTGGCTGGAGCTAGGGAAGAGCAGCATCGAGCTCCAAGGAAGCTCTAAGACCATACCTGAGCCCTTCCCACGCTTACTTAGTCTTCCTATTTCCTCTGAACAGGGAGATGAGCTGCTGGTAGAGTGTAACTACCAGACACTGGATCGGGACTCCACAACGTTTGTGAGTATTGTGAGCCCTCAAAGAGAGCTCAGCCCCGGCTTTGGCTATTCAGTGATTGGTTTTTCAGCCAGCGCCCTTTCTTCCCTCAATGCCATTACGCATTCATATGGAACATTTCATGCTTTTCCTCTCCCATGTGTCCAAGATGGGCACAGATATATGATGCATTAAGACCATGGGAAGACAGGATGTAACAGTGAAGGCCACGGACTCTGAGTCTTCACTGGCCTGCATTGCCAACATAATCATCTAGTAGCTTTCTAACCTGAAGCAAAGATTCAACCTCTTTTTACCTCAGTTTCGAAATGTGTCCAAGAGTCAATACTACTACCTATCACATAAGATCGCTGTAAATATTGGTCAGCACCTGCAGTACAGCTAGATTGTTGCCTGCCTGTGGCAGATGCTTGCTAAGGGATCAATGTCATTGCTATGGGAACAGAGCTAGAAGTGGTTCAATGCTTCTTGCAAATTTCAAAAAACATACATGCCTTTGAGGAAGAAAATGTAACCATACAAATGATTATAAGAAAGGAATATATTCTACAAGAGAAAAATGGGGATAAGGGATGGGGGGGAGTTATAGAGAAGGACAAGAGTGAGAAAGCCATCGATAAGAAAAGCATGGAGTGTGCGTGGAGCTTAAGACCTGAAGGAAGTACCAGTCAAGCAAGCTAACTAAGTTAACGTGAGGCCCTGAGTTCAGTCCCCAGTTCAACAGATGAGAAAAGCATAGAGAAGAGAGAGGAAAGGAGAAAGAAAGAAAGAGAGAGAGAGAGAAAGAAAGAACGAGAGAAAGAAAGAGAGAGAAAGGAAAGAAGGAAGGAAGGAAGGAAGGAAGGAAGGAAGGAAGGAAGGAAGGAAGGAAGGAAGGAAGGAAGGAAGGAAGAAATGGAGGGAAGGAAGGAAGGAAGCTCTTGGGTAGAAGTTAAAGGGATTAGGAAATATATCTGAAGGAATGGCACACAGTTGAGGAGAGATGAGACTCAGAAGGGTCCTGGAGCAGGGTGAGGCTGCTCTGCCTGTACCTTTCAAACAGCAGGGTCTAACTCTGCCACATTCTAAATAGACTCCAGGCAAATAAATAAGCATGGGATTTTATTAATTATTTACTGAATAGGCAAGGGACAGGACACCAACTCTAGTATAAATGAATAATTTGGCATCTCTAGAGAGGTCATCGATACTAACTGCAAGACAATCTAACCCTAACCCAAACAAGGATGGTGGAACAGAAATGGAGAAAAGAAAGAAGAGGCATGGGATATTTCTATCCTATCAGCAATTGTCCAGTGATCAAAAATATAATATCCGAAAGGAAGATCCATGGACTCGCTCTCCAGAAAGGCAAAAATAAGAAGGAGTTTCTGGAGCAGAATGACTAGCCGTGCTATCTTCTGCCTGCCTCGGGCCCTCCTGGCTGCATACCTCTGTTCTTAGTCTCTCTCTCTCTTTCACCTTTTCCAGGGAGGCATCAGCACCATTAATGAGATGTGCCTCATCTTTCTCTTCTACTATCCGAGAAATAACATCTCCAGCTGCCTAGGCTTCCCTGACATCATCTATGTGGCCAACGAGCTGGGGGAGGAGGCGTCAGAGTAAGTCATCCCCACAAGGGTCGGGGAAGGGCTGGAGGAAGGAGGAAAAGGTGATTGGCCCACTACTGCCCAGGTTGATGAGCCAGGAGTCATCGGGGGTAGCCAATCAATGCCTGCCCCTCTCATGCTTTTATTAGTGCCTGATTCTCCAATCAGATTTGTGGGGGGGGGGGGGGTGGAGTTTGCGATGTCAGAAAGACCTTTGGGAGAGGCAGAAGAGAGCTGGTGGGCAAGTCAGATCCCTTAGGCACAAATTCTGTCTTTCTCACTGTGCCCCTGATTCAAAGATTATTTGTACATTCAAGTCACGATCTTCAGTTGTTTGGAGGTAAAGGTCTCAGGAGATTCCAGAAACTTCTAAGAAATAAATGTGCATCAATGCAGACACACTCCATTTCCCATGGAGCTTCAGGGTGACTACAGGTTTCCTGAAGTCGGTCCAGTCACATGCTTGGCTGTTCTGGCGGTCTGGCTACTCGATTGATGAAGAACCATGCCTAGATGTGGTCCTTTTCCCTTTCTCCAGTGTCTAAGATTCTCCTCTCTGATGACATTTTTCCTCTGTCAAATTCACGGTGGTGCTCCCTGAGCTATAAGGCCGTCCACAGGGCTTACACTGACAGGAAACTCACGCTCTTGAAAACACAGATGAGGCTTTCGGTGTATTCGCTCAAAGCTCTCAGTCAACCCAAAGCGAATCTGTGTATCCCCATCCTCACCACACCACCCACAGGAATCCCATGGAGAACCTGATCGTCTTGGAAAATATCGATTGGACTCCAGAGAACATAAGGAAGGCCGAGAAAGCCTGCAAAGAGGCCCGGCAGACGGTGATGATCAAAACCATCAATGTGGGTGCCTGGGGATCAGGTGCCTCCTTAGACCTAGGGCCAGGGCGGGGGAGTCTGGGATTGTGTTGGCCCAAGGCAGGAAAAGAGGATGATGACTGAGGTGAGTGACGGTGTGGAGTTTCAGGGTAGAGAAAGGAGGGACTGAAGCAGTAGAATGACTGGTTGTTGCTGCCTGGGCGGGGTTGGGGGTGGGGTGGGGAGTGAATGGAGGCGCCTAGTTAGCCTGGACAGAAATGATCTGGTAAGGTTTCAGAGAAGGGAAAGAGGGATGAGAAGCTTCTGGATTTCCCCCTTCCCTCCCCTCTCCTGAAGGAGCTGATTGAAAACACCACAGGATGGATTCCTGACATCACTCCTGCTCCTCGAGGGCCCTGCTTGGAGTCTTCTGGAGGCAAAGTCGAGCCTCAGGACAAGAACCCTGCAGGATTCAGGGCGGCACCCGTGGCCCCCCCACATTCCAACATGGCCACCCCCGCAGCCTTTCCTCTGGCTGTCCTCTTGTGGCTCCACGGTGCCCTCTTGTGGCTCTTGGTCATCCTCTAGACTGGAGCATGATGCTGTCTCCCCTGCCCCATCCTCAGAGCTCTGTCTCTCCGCCCTCCCTGATTCTCAGCACACAGAGAAGAAAGATGTCCCCCACGGGTGCCGTGACCCAAGCGGCAGCAAGCTCTAAAGCATCGTGCACAACTCCATCTGCAAGTCATCTTTTTAATGCTTTAAAACGATGTGTTCTGGCAATCTCTGGCTCCAAGGCTGGATGTGAAATGATGGATCCATTCTCTGAGAAGTCGGTGACTGAACTCCATCCAGAATCACGAGTTGGGGTGGGCTTAAGTGCAGAAAGAGCCAAGCAACCTTCTGCCCCAGCATATCTCCATGACCGCTAATTCCTCCTTTCTAATGACTTGTTTCTGCCCTCTCTGTGGCGCAGTGGCAGTAAGCCACAGACGTGGTGAGCTAGAGGTGATCTGTGGTAAAGGGAAGGGCTCCGTGTATCAGAACAAAGTTCCAGGCCTCACATTAAATATAACTCCACTTGCTTCCTGTGTTGCCATCTTTTCTTTGAGCCTTTGGTCCTGGAGAGGGAGCTGAGTGATCTCTCCAGGTTCTCAGATAAGGTATCCAAAGGGCATGGAAGTTCTTGGCTGACTAAAATGATATTTACCATGCAATCCTTGACATTTGCTTTTGTCTCCACGGTTGGGTGATCTTTTTATTTTCCCCAAGTTTCGCATTGTGTCTTCAAGTCACTTTCTCTCAAGAGCCTTACTGGACAGGCAAACTGAAATGGGCTCTGGGAATGGATGAAGAACAAAGTGGAGAAAGGCAATCCTAAGCCCAGAGAATCAATAAATGCTTTGGGGAACCACAGATGGTACCTGTGGTTTCTAGGAAAGGCTGCTCTGGGAGTTTCAAGGATATGTCTCTGTGTGTTCTGAGTTTGAAAAGCTCATCCCCACACTAAAGGATTTGAAGTCACTCTTCAGGTGTATGGATTGCCTTGCTCCATGTGTATTGTAAAAGGCACATCTGCTCTGGCTGTCCTTGAGTGTTTAAAGGGATCTTAACCTCCAGGAGACCAGGGATGTAGTCTCAGAAAGCTCCACGTTGCTGCTCCAGGGACTCATCCTGGGGCATCACATCAGAGTCTTGCTTCCTGAGGAAGCAATAGTCCTCTTCTGGGACCGGGCAGGTGCACTGGGGATGTGGGTTGTGTTCAGCAGTGACCTTCACCGTCCTTGCCCGTGGGAAGTTCAGACTGCCCTCTCTGTAACTGCAGCACACTCAGTGCCCTCATTCAACTCCTGCAGATGTGACTTGCATCAACTTGATTGGAACTACATCTCAGCCCAGAAATGTGTGGACAGGGAAAGAAACAGGTGCATCTTAATTCTGGATGCACAAGTGTCCACAGACAGACAGCATGCAAGGGAAATGGAGTGTTTCCTTCACTCTAATAATCCTGAGCTGCCTTCCAGTTATCTGAAGGCTATGAAGTACTTTCTGTAAGAAGGATACACATAAAAGCGAGATCCAGGTGAAATCTTAAAACTCAGACAAATTATTTCTCCCAGTTCACACTGATGAATGAGTACGTCTGACATTTCTGTTCTCACTTGTATTAATCCAGGGCTTCTCAGACAAATGGTTGTTTGTTGCTGTTGTTGTTGTTTGTTTGTTGTATGTGCTGGTACTACAGCTTGAATTTAGGGCCTAGGCACTATCCCTTAGCTTTTTGCTCAATGCTTGAACCATAGCTCCACTTCCTCTTTTTGGTAGTTTATAGGAGATAAGAGTCTCATCTTGGGCTGGGAAGGTGGCTCAGTGGTAGAGCACTTGCCTTGCATGCCTGAGGCCCTGGGTTCGATTCCTCAGCACCACATAAGCAAAAAGCAAAAAGCCGGAAGTGGTGCTGTGGCTCAAGTGGTAGAGTGCTAGCCTTGAGCTGTAGAGCTGAGGGACAGCGCCCAGGCCCGGACCCCCCAAAAAAAGAGTCTCATCTTATCCTGTCCTTCAGAATAGCTTAGAATCACAGTCCTCAGATCTCAGTCTCCAGAGTAGCTAAGATTACAGATGTGCGCCATTGGCGACTGGCTTACCAAACAAGGTCTTTCAGCCTCAATGCTCCATTTAAAGATTGCATTCTGGCTAGGTTTCTGATGCTAACCTTGGGTCTATACTGCAGCCTTGCCTTAGGAAGGTTTGAGCCAGCTGGGCAGCTCCAGGTTCTGGCCCAACACAGATCTCAAGCCCTGTGTTCCTCCCTTTCCATTTCATGTTCCTCCCTGGATTTCCTTTGCTTTCTTTCACATTCCATCTGCTAAGGAAAGCTAGCATGCACACACACACACACACACACACACACACACACACACACACACTGACCCACCTTTGTATGTTCTACATATGTCAGGAACAGGTGTTTATATATATATAATATAATATTTTATTAATTATATATAATTATATAATTATTATATGTATTATATATGGATTAACAGCTTAGCCTAGTACTACAGGAAAAATATCTTAAGATATTCCCACAAAGGAAGTGACGCTGTGGCTCAAGCAGTAGAGCGCTCGCCTTGAGCTGAAGAGCTGAGGGATAGTCCCCAAGCCCTGAGTTCAAGCCCCACAGCCGACAAAAACAAAAAAGATATTCCCACAGAGCTGTGTGCCCAGTGAGCTAATGCTCAAGTTCCTTTTGAATGCTTTTATACTGTGACTGAAATTTCCCCAACTACTCAAAATCAGAAGCCTTTAGAAACCTGGCAGACACAACTGCAACCAAGTAACAAAATTAATAGTAATAGGTAAACAGACCTCACCTGAAACCCAAGTTGGGTATGATTGCTTCTGTATTATTTCTGCCCCCAAAGGCATCATCTCAGTACAATCATGAGAAAATGGAAAACAAACCAAGTACACAAGGGACATTCTACAACAAACTGGCTTGTCATTTCAACAAGTGTCAGAATCATGGAGAGAGAGAGAGACGGGGGGGGGGGGGGGGGGAGGCGGTGAGGAACACACACTGAGGGAAGATTCTAGAAGAGTCTAAAAAATGAACCCAACCAAAAATGCACTATGATATGTGTTCCTAGACTAACCTCTTTTATGTTTTTGCTTTTTGGTTAAATATAGGCACATGAAGAAATGTTCTTTGTTTTATTAGGAAATTCATACAACCCTTTTTAATAATAATAAAACACTCTACAAACTCTCAGCTATGTAAGGCAGAAGGGGTGCATAATTTATAAGACAATGATCTAGAGATCTGAGTGAATAGTATACCAGAGTTTTCTCTACTATTGTTGCAACTTTTCTCTAAGTTTACTTTAAGTTTTCAAATATAATTTTATGTTATTATGATGGTGTCGTACAGAAGGGTTACCATTTCATGAGTCAGGTAATGAGAACACTTCTTTTTTGGACAATGTCACCCCTTTGCTTTCCCAGTTTTCCCCTTTTCTCTAATTTTAAGCTTACTTAGAAACAAAATTATAATTAAAACAATCTAGCCCTGAATATATAAGATAACACTATGAAAAATGGAGGTAATATTAAAAACAAAGAAAGACAAATAAGGCAGATAATGAATAACCTGGAAACAATGGATTTAGAAAAATGTCAATTTTCACAAGAAAGAACTTTTGACCAACTCTTACTCTTGAAAAGCATTTTTGGTCTTCAACTCTAGTATAGTCCTAGCCTCTGAGCAAATGTCAGCGGCAAGCACAAATAAATACAAACATGTATATCTTCGGCTGCAAAGCACTAAAACAGTATTTTAAAGACAATTATTCCTATAGCCACAAGATGGCGATAATTTAATTGAAAGTAAACAGTACCGCCTTAGTTGTTATTTAATAGTTTAAGTCATTCATTTTTGTGGCTGGTTGGGGAGGAAGCGTCTGCATCTGGAAGAGTACTGTTTGTTGTGACCTTAGTGGTATTTGTTGTGTAAGATGGGGTTGTGATAAGAATGGTATCATTACTGTTGGCAGTAGTGCCTGTAGAGAAAGGAGTAGCTATACCAAGAAGAGTACTACTAGGTGTAACATCAGTAGTACGTGTTGTATAGGATGGGGTTATGGGAGGAATGATTACAATAGTACTGGTGGTAGTATTTATAGAAGAGGTAGTTGTGCCTGGAACAGTATCGTTCACTAGAACCTCTGTAGTGTTTGTTGTGTAAGCTGGGGCTGTGTCAGGAGCTGTGACACCAACATTAACAGTGGTGTTTGCAGAGATAGGAGTACTTGTACCTAGACTAGTACTGGCAGTTGCATTTACAAAAGGGGTAGTTGTACCTGACACAGTACTATTCACTGTGAACTCAGTAGTATTTGTTGTGTGAGCTGGCATTGTGATAGGAGCTGTGATATCAGTGTTGGTGGTAGTACTTGTGGAGATAGGAGTGCTTGTACCAGGACTAGTACTGGCAGTTGCATTTACAAATGGGGTATTTGTATCTGACACAGTACTGTTCACTGTGACCTCAGTAGTATTTGTTGTGTGAGTTGGGGTTGTGATAGGAGCTGTGACATCAGTGTTGATGGTAGTACTTGTGGACATAGGAGTGTTTGTACCAGGACTAGTACTGGCAGTTGCATTTACAAATGGGGTAGTTGTACCTGACACAGTACTGTTCACTGTGACCTCAGTAGTATTTGTTGTGTGAGCTGGCATTGTGATAGGAGCTGTGACATCAGTGTTGTTGGTAGTGCTTGTAGAGATAGGAGTGCTTGTACCAGGACTAGTACTGGAAGTTGCATTTACAAATAGGGTAGTTGTACCTGACACAGTACTGTTCACTGTGACCTCAGTAGTATTTGTTGTGTTAGCTGGGGTTGTGATAGGAGCTGTGATATCAGTGTTGGTGGTAGTACTTGTGGAGATAGGAGTACTTATACCAGGACTAGTACTAGCAGTTGCAGTTATAGAAGAAGGGGTAGTTGTACCTGACACAGTACTGTTCACTGTGAACTCAGTAGTATTTGTTGTGTGAGCTGGCATTGTGATAGGAGCTGTGACATCAGTGTTGTTGGTAGTACTTGTGGAGATAGGAGTGCTTGTACCAGGACTAGTACTGGCAGTTACATTTACAAATGGGGTAGTTGTACCTGACACAGTACTGTTCACTGTGACCTCAGTAGTATTTGTTGTGTGAGCTGGGGTTGTGATAGGAGCTGTGACATCAGTGTTGGTGGTAGTACTTGTGGAGATAGGAGTGCTTGTACCAGGACTAGTACTGGCAGTTGCATTTACAAATGGGGTAGTTGTACCTGACACAGTACTGTTCACTGTGACCTCAGTAGTATTTGTTGTGTTAGCTGGGGTTGTGATAGGAGCTGTGATACCAGTGTTGGCAGTAGTGCTTGCAGAGATAGGAATACTTGTACCGAGAATAGTACTGGTAGTAGCATTTATAAAAGGAGTAGTTGTACCTGGAACAGTACTGATTACTGTGCCCTCAGTAGTGTTTGTTGTATAAGCTGGGGTTGTGTTAGGAGCTGTGACAATGGCGTTGGCAGTAGTACTTGCAGAGACTGGCATGCTTGTACCAAGACTAGTACTAACAGTGGTACTGGCTGTGCTTTGTGGGGTTGTGATAAACACAATGGTACTTGTAGAGAGAGGGGTGATTGTGTCAGGAACAGTTGTGTGGGTTGAACCGTCAGTGGTACTTGTGGCCCTAAGCGTGGGTGTGACAGCAACAGTGATTCCAGTTGTGGTGTCAGTTGTACTCCTGGGAACAGTGGTTGAGATGGGAGTGGTTCCATTGCTTGTGGTAATGCCTGTGGTCGCAGAGGTGGTGGTGGCCTGGGTGCTGGTGGACTCGTTCACTGATGTAGGTGGGAAAGAATGTGTGGAAAGGGGGGTGGCTATTGTGGTCGTGGGAACTGGAGGGTCACCACGAACCCAAGTGACCTCAGTTAGCTTCTCCAGGCTGATGTTCTTGTCAGTCAGTTGAATAGTTAGTGTCTGCCAGGAAAGAAAATAACCCAAGTTGTCCATGAGAAATGTCTTCATATCATATTTAAATCCTATCTCAAATTAGAATTTGAAAATGTGCTGTTTCCCAAGAGAGGAAGAGGATAAAACCTTCTCTTTTCATGTCACATTGATTTTGCTCAGGTCATTAGGTGGAGAGTTCCATCTGCATAATTGTCACTGTAATCTCTTTCTTCTACCCCATTTGCTCACAATGATGTCTGCCATATGTGTGGTAATTCTATGTGGCACTTGATGGTCTAAAATGCTCTTATTTATGGCAACCAAAGCAGGCCCTCTAACAGTGTCTTCTATTTATGTCAGTTTGTTTTGTTAATCTAATAAGTTTATCTCATACTATAGATGATATAAACTCCTTTTTGGTCACTGCAGATCACCAAGTTAATGACCCCTCAGCATACCCAAAGTTGTACATACTACAGAAAGGAAAAAAAATGGTCAAAAATTTGGGGAGCCACTCTTGTCTTTGTCTTAGCCTCTGAGCAACTTTCACTACATTACCTAGAAAAGCCAATCCATTCAAACCTAGCACAGTTCCTCAGATAAGCCCTCAGAGAGCTAGCATCATTAATCTTGGACTACACAGGGTTAGTCATTTTATAACATAACCCAACATTCAGAAAATTTCTGGAATATATCTATTGCATACATGTATAGCCTGACTAACAGGGTCAAATCCAATATGTTTGCAACAGTGATGATAATTGTTCAGGGTAATCAGATTAGTTTACAATAATATTCATTTCAGGCATACCTGATTATAAGGGTCATGGATGAAATAGGCCTCCGTGAATTGCTGGCTGTCAGTGGTGACATTCACTTGTGTCACATAAGTGGCGTTCACTCCCCAGATCTTAATATAGCCAACTTTCAGTGGATTCGAGTTACTCAGATACTCGTTGTGAATAACATAGATTCGTAAAATGTCCTATAAGGAATATGTAAAGGGAAAAAAGTACATCAGAATGTATGGGTAATAGATTATATTCTCTATTCAAATATTTAGACAACCAGTTTTCCATTTTATTTTACTTCACCACTTCATAAAGTCATACTTCCAGTGTACCTGGTACAAAAATCTGGGTGATGTCAGAAATAAGTTTAGGTATCAAAATCATAAAAGTTATTTTATGTGTATTAACAGAAATCACCATTATCTCTGTTTCACTGAGAAAGAAACTGAGGCTTCAGGAGACACTATGAACAGTCCAGACAGCTGACTGGCATAAACAGGGAAGGGTGATGATGCTCCCGTGTTAACCCACAAGTACACAAGCAAACACAGATGAACACAAAAGTGTTGGGAAACAGTCCTAAGACTAAGCACAATCTATGGGAATGTAAGAAATCAACTAAACCATAAGCTGCTTCAATAGCAATACAAGGGCTAAAGCAAGTCACAAGATGCTGCATAATTGAAGCCAAATAAAAAGCAAAGCAAACATTTGTTATGGGTGTTAAGAGCAAGGAAAAATTAACCAAGCACTCAGTGGCTCATGTCTATAATCCTAGTTACTCAGGAGGCTGAAATTACTTAGGATGCTAAGATTTGAGGATCAAGGTTCAAGACCAGGGCAGGCAGAAAAGTACATGAGACTCTTACATCCAGTTAATCAAAAAAGAGAGAGAGAGAGGCGGGAGACAGGGAGGAAGGAGGGAAGGAAGGAAGGAAGGAAGGAAGGAAGGAAGGAAGGAAGGAAGGAAGGAAGGAAGGAAGGAAGGAAGGAAGGGAGAGAGGGAAGAGGGGAGGAGTAGTTTACGTAGTAGATTGCTGCCCTTGAGCAAAACAAGGATAATGAGGAACACTCCCCACTGTGCATGTGAGCACACACACACACACAGACACACACACACACATAAGTGAAGAAACCGAGTAGCCATGAAAGAATTTAGTAGAGAAATGGAAATACCAATGACATGGAAGGATTGATAGGGTTTACAGAGGCACCAAGAATGTCAGGGGATGGAAGTACGGATATTTTGAACAAAAACTCACTTGCTGATTACAAAGACAAGTCTAGCTGGGGCTAAAGAGGCCGAGAAATGACCTGGTGGAGGGTATCAGATGTGATTCCATGAGCCTGGTCAGGGATACAGTTTCTGTAGAGTAAGCCATTAATGTCTTGACTCAAGCAGTACAAAGAAAATGGTACAGGTCCAACTGGCACTATGTAGACTTCTTTGGTTTGATTGGGCAGGCTGAATCAAGGGAAACAACACTCAAGCGAATAAAATATAAACTGAATTTTAAAATGTCTTATTTAACTCAATATTTAAAACATTCTTTCAACATTAATTCAGTATAAAAGTGTGAGATGTTTTATCATCTTTGCTCACTTTAGACACTTGAGCATTTCCAAGTAGGCTAGTCACACTTCCAGTGGTCAACACCTCCACGTGGCCTGTGATTACCATATTGGATGGTGGAGGCCTAAAGTTTACTGTCAGTCCTAAGAACCATGTGTCAAGACTATTCTAGATGAACTGTCTTTCACTCAGAACAGTTAGATTTTGAAACCAGTATAAATACAAAACACAGGACAGGTGAGGTTTGGCTGGAAATGTATGATTTTTAGAAGAGAAGACAGAGGGATAAATAACAGAAAACAGATAAATAACTTTCAAGCATAGAATGCACTGATTTGTGCTACCAAATTTCTTATTTCCAGCCACTAAGTTAAAATTGCAGAGAAGCAGATTTCAGATATAGAGTGATTTTCTGAGTTCTCTCATTAGTAGTCTATAGAATGGATATCAGTGTTCTCTCATTAGCAGTACATAGAATGATTATCCATAAAAACCTATGAACACACAAGGTATAGTGCGAGCATTATTATCTCTGCTTATTTATTTGTGTCTATCTTTATTCTCTTCTATGTATTTTTTGTTGTTGTTGGTCGTGGGACCTGAACTCTGGGCCTGGGCGCTGTCCCTCAGCTCTTCAGCTCAAGGCTAGTGCTCTACCACTTGAGCTACAGCACCACTTCTGGCTTTTTATGTGTATGTGGTGCTGAGGAATGGAACCCAGGGCCTCATGCATGTGAGGCAAGCACTCCACCACTGAAACAACTTCCCAGTCCCTTCTATGTAATTTTTATAATATCGTCTCTCTAGATGAGATATGTTACACCTCTGGGTTTGGTGAAGTGACATTGTTTTGCTAATTGAAAAATCGGTATCTCCATGTAAAAGGTGATTTTTAGTCACTACTCAGGCCTTTCTACTTTTGCCCTTTCCCATACCACCAAAAGCTCATAGACAGACCTTCTTATAAGGTCATTTAAGCTCATCAGCTGGTCAGCTGACCCACAAGATACATGAGTGAATGGATGCAAACTCAACCAAGCAAACAGACCAATGGCTGCTGGCAGATACATGTGAGCTAGCCTTGGTCAGCCATGTCCAGCCCAGATCACCTACACTCTGAAAATCCACAGAGAAATAAGTTCTATGTCACTGCTTTTGAGATTGTCTTTTCTTCAGCCTAATTGCTTAATAGATAACTTGTGGCACACTTCAAAATTATTTCAGCCAGAAAATTCCCATCTCTGGAAACAAGTTATATATTTAAGGATGGAATTTTCCCTGGACTAATGAGTTTCAAGTTTCTTTTAATAGGATGATGAAATATTGGTCTGCTATAATAAAGCTGAGTTAGAAAACACTAGAAGAATGTCCTGTTAAGATGTGAGAGATTAGCCGGGCGCTGGTGGCTCATGCCTGTAATCCTAGCTACTCAGGAGGCTGAGATCTGAGGATCGTGGTTCAAAGCCAGCCCGGGCAGGAGAGACCGTGAGACTCCTATCTCCAATAAACCACCAGAAAACCGGAAGTGGCACTGTGGCTCAAGTGGTAGAGCGCTTGCCTTGAGCTGAAGAGCTGAGGGACAGCGCCCAGGCCCAGAGTTCAAGCCCCACGACCGACAAAAAAAAAAAAAAAAAAAAAAAAAAGATGTGAGAGATTAGATTTATAGAATTCATGGAACTAGAAAAGCATTATTTATAAAAATAAAAGACTTACCTGAGCTGCTATAAAGTTGGCTGAGAAATAGTTTCCCTTTTCATAGGTATCTGCAAGCAAGAAAAAGAGACATATGAAGAAATGCGCAACATTATTAGCCAAAAAGGAATTGCAAGTCAAAACTACTACACTAAGATTTCACCTTACCCCCATCAGAATGTCCACCCTCAAGAGAATAAATAACAAATGCTGGTGAGGGGAAGTGGTGCTGTGGCGCTAAGTAGTAGAGCACTATCCTTGAGCAAAAGAGCTCAGGGTCAGCATCCAGGCCCTGAGTTCAAGCCCCATGATAGACAAAAAAAATGCTGGTAAGGATGCAAAGCAAAAAGGAATCATGATACTGTGTTGGTAGGAATGCAAACCAGCACAACCAGTATCGAAATCAGTATTCCTCAAAAATTAAAAATAGGTCTGCCTTATGTTCCTTCCATACCATTGTAGACTAGAGTATCAATCAATATATGAGAGATTTCTTTATCCCCAAGTTTACTATAGCTTGTCCTTATACACAATCGTGTATACACATAGGGAACATGAATGTAATGTGGGATCACTTGGGAGGATGAGGAAGAGGATGGAGACAGGGAAAATTATTGATGACAAATAATAATGAAATAGATGGTATCTGTCTATATGTGAAGAGAGTATAAAGAAAGTTATTGAAAACTATTAAACGATAGGTGGCAAAGAAAGCCGGTAAAAATGACAGCAATAAAGTTATCTGAATTTATTATAATATTCAGATCCATGGGAAAAAAGAATCACAAGAAAGTAAAACAGGGGGTAGTTATCAGCAGGAAATGGCAGCTAATGAAGAGAGAGAAGAAGGATGGATATGGTCAAAGTAATTTAGATGCCAAGATGAAAATTGAATGACAAAATCAGTTGAAATTGTATTAAAAGAGGGTGGAAGATGAGGGAAAGTGATACATGGGGTGAGTTTGATTGAATATTTATTGTATTTATGCATGAAATGCCAGTGAAAATCTCCCTTTCAGAACTAACATGTGCTAATAAAAATGAAGAGATAATTTTAAAGATGAAAAGAGAATTAGCATATTTATTGCCTCAATGATAGCAAATGATCTCATATACATTGAAATAGCTTAAAATGTGCAAAACGCTTGCACTGAAAATTACAAAACACTGCTGAGAGTAATTACAGAAAACATAAATATAGAAAGGCTCCATACAAATGAAACATGATGGATAAACAGGTCGATAAGATGAATAGATATCTCAAAATTGATCTATAGAATTAAAGCAATTCTAGTCAATATCCCAGCAAATTAGTTTTTTGTTGTAAAAAATTAGCAAGCTAATTTATAAAAGTCTGTATTGTATTAAGCATAAAATGGCTACAATATTAATTTTAAAGTTATCAAAACTATGCTCAAAATATTATTTATAATAATAAAACTGAAAATATTCTCTATAGGCAGGTTTTTATAGAGTTGGATAAATTGTGATAGTTTTCTCAACAAAAATATAGTAATAATGATGCATATAAAGGACTCATAGATATGTGTCTGTCATTCAGTTAAGGAAAATAAACAGGATTCACAAGTTAAACTTATGGTATCTTTTCAGCTGTATAAAAACATAAGCTATTCTCTTAAGTTATGTGAAAGCAAAAGCACTACAGAAAATAGTGTTATTGTTTTACTGTTTTTCAAAAATTTTTAATCCTAGCTGCTCAGGAGGCTGTGATCTAAGGATCATGGCTCAAAGGCAGTCTGGGCGTATCTTCAATAAGTTACCAAAAAAGCTTGAAGTGGAGCTGTGGCTCAAGTGGTAGAGCTAATCTTGAGCAAAAGAGGCTCAGGGACAGCACTCAGGTCCCAAGTTCAAGCCCCAGGACCGCCCCTTCCCCACCCTCCAAAAATCATGCATCTTCTTGGAAGACTAGAGCGTTCTGATATAGAGTGGTAAGCATAAAATGATTTCTGGTTGATATTAATATTTCTATAAAAATGTCCAAGGAAGGAGGTATTCTAATTATGACAGATTCCAATTACCTAAACTAGAATGAGAAGAAAATAATAGCAAAGCAGAAAGTCTCTTTGCAGCAATAGTCAATTCCCCATTACAAGTCACCAAGACAATTTTGGGGCTCTAATTTTTGTCTCCCCATTGGACCTAGTTATGGAGGAAACGAAGCCTGGTATGAGTAGCCAGCCCAAACACGGAGCCACCTGTGTCCCATGGAGAATGAATGGACTGTCACCTGATATTTTCCAGTGAGATAATCCAGTGGGGTACAAGTCAGCCATGGGTGAATCTACACAGCCAGGCTTCTGAACCCACAGAACTAGGGACCAAACCTGATATGTGATCATTTGTAGTGGAATATAAACAAGGAGACTATCCCATTGTTGCCTTCTTGGCAATAGCAAACATGAAGGCGTGTCTTCAGTTTCCAGTAAGGTCTGTTGAATCTCAATGGTATGGCTTTCCTGAATAACGCACAGGGACCCTGGGAGGTTCACACTCACCAATGCTTTGTCCATCATCCCAGAACATCTGGCCTTCAGCCTTCCCGTTCTCATCCAAAGCCACGGTCAAGCCCATACAATTTTGTCGACTATAAAAGACAAGATTTATTTCTCCCTACATTGTAGGCTTTAAAAAATAAGAAACAGCAACTATTTGAAAATACAAGCCAGGTGAAGTATTACACGCCTGCCATCTTAGCTACTTGAGAGACAGAAATGGGGATGGGGTAGGGAAAAGGGAATTGCAGTTCAAAACTAGCCTAGGTTAAAAAAAAATTGTGAGATTCTATCTCAACCAATGGCTGAGCACAGTGGTCTGTCATACCAACAATCCAGGAAAGCACAAGTATGTGGATCACAGTCTACATCAACCATAAAGCAAGACTAACTTGAAAATAACCAACACAAAAAGGGCTAGTAAGCTGGCTTGAGTGGAGAGTACAAACTTAGTATGTGGGAAGCACTGATTTCAAAACCCAGTGCTTTAAAAATCAGATATACTTATTTTATAAATAAATATATATTACAATAATATAATGAGATACAAATTCCTCAGGAAGAAATCCCAAGAACAAATGTCACTTCCATAGATTTCAGGTTGCTATAGCTTAAAACCCCAAATTCTTAGCTTGGCATTCACAGCCCTCCCATGATTTAAGCTTAACCTGCTTCACTTATATTTATTTACCTTTCCTTTGTCTGAATGGTTTACTGGTCCCCAAACCCAACTCAACTTTCACCTGCAGTTCCTTAATCTTCCTGGAGTATATCTATCTCCCTTGTATTCATACTTGCAAATCGTATTAGCTATTCAAGATGCAGCTCAAAACCCTTTCATGTAAAACCATGCATTATGCTACAGACTGAAACTTCTCTTTTGCATTATTGCTATTTTTAGATGCCTCTCTTGATACAAATTATTATTAACAAATGAATTCATATAGATATTAAAACGTGCTCTGTGTGTGTGTGTGTGTGTGTGTGTGTGTGTGTGTATACTCTTGTAGTGTTGATCAAGGTAGACCTGGGATTGCTGACTATAAGGCCTTATGTGGCCTCACAGGCGAAGGTGCTCATGGTCTCCCCTCCTTTTCTAACAGTGTAAGGGGAGAAACATGGCTTCTTCCCCCAGGAAAATTTTCTCCATAAAATTTAGTTTTGTGACACAGCACCACAGATGAAAGGATTGCCCAGGATGAACTTCATGAACCAGTCATCCTCCAGATCCTATTCAAAAGATACTCACAGAAAGAACCCACCTGTGAAACCAATAAAGTCCAACCAATAGAGACCATCTGTGGCTGAGGGCATGATTCGAGTACTTGTCTAGCATGCACAAAGCCCCAAGTTCAAACCCTAGCACTGCAGAAACACAAAGCCCATCTGAAAGTTAATTTATCCATGCTGCCCTGGTACAGGTGGGAAAGCCTTGTTATTTTCAGTTGCTGAAGGGAGGTGACCAAGTAGCGCCTCTTCTTACCTGAAGTGAGTGTTCATTGCAGGCTCTTGCCAAGGCAGGATGTGGCCTCCTCTCACATGAAGGTTGATGTGGTCTAAGGGAGCCTGTAGCTTTCTCCACACACCTGTAGATTCATAGCCAAATCCCTAGAAGGAAGCATGCAGGCCAGAAACAGTGACAGAGAAATTGATTAAATGAGTGCATAGGCCGGCTCTGCATCTCTGTAGATCTCATAGGTAAGTCTCTTTGCAGCACTGACATACCTTAGAGAGATTTGAATAAAATGAAAATTCATTTGATAGCAAAAGGAGCTGTTCTTGTAGTTTAATCCTATAAGGGAGCTCATGTCTCTAAAGTACTAATCTTTGAAGAAATAAAGAAAATTACATTCTTAAAAAGTTGGGATCATGGAATTTAGGTAATCCAGGAAATGAAGATGATGATGATCTTTATGATTTGGACAAGAAATCTTCTAAAAGTCTTATTTTCTAAGAAAGCATGTTAGAAAATAAGCAAAATTCTGCAAAAAAAAAAAATCTTTGCATTTTATTTTTGGTTTGGCCTCTGAAAATTCTGTCTTTCCTCTGTGTCTCCAGAAAGGGTTGAGGATAGGTCTCTGTGGGACACAGGTGCAAGGAAGTAGGGAGAAAACTCACAACACCTTTCTTGCCTGCACAGGACCATCTGACTCCCCAAACTGCAGTCATACGTACCGTGCTATAGTCATACCACCGGGCTCTGGGGAAATAAGCAGTGATCTCAAAAGTGTTCTGAAAGCAAAAGAATTGCACATGACTACAAATATGCCAGGAAGAACGAATTTCAAGTTTTAAAATGATTTCTGTGTGCATAGGATCATTAGGATGTCAGAAGTTTGAGAGTTTATTGAAAATCATCTAGAACATTTTTCCCCAAATACAGAAAATCAATGTTTCATAAAGTGAATTATAAAAGGACACAAGGTGATAAATTTTCCTAATGAGAAATTAGATTTATGAAGCTTTCATCAGTGGAGATTTTGGGGGGGAAGGGGGGGATAAGAATTCTTTTAGATGTTCAAGAAAGCCAGTTGCTTAACACAGTGACCTGGACAAGAGCAGAGGATCTTGGAAATGGCTTTCCTGTGGCTTTTGACTATGCAGTTGGGAATTTTATGATCCAGACTAGAAAAACTCACATTTTCCAGCACGGGGCTGATCAAGATGGAGGGGCCCAACATGAACTGCTGGTCTATATCCCATGTTGTGTTGTCATCTGTAAACCTGAAAAAGTAAATACAAAAATCTCTCCAAGCTTCTTGCAACTGAGGGTTATTGGGAAGCCTTATTGGGACCCATTTCTTTTTCTTACTCATGGAGAAGAGGTCGGATGACAGTATTGCCATTCACGTGTGCTTTATGCATCAGCGTGTAGAGATAAGGCAGCAGAGTGTATCTAGTCTTCAGGACTTCCCTTGCGTATAACTCAAAGGTTGAATCCCAGGCCACAGGGTCTTGTCTCTAAGGAGATACAAGAGCAGATAACAAATTGCTTTTCACCCCATCTTAGTGGTATCCCAGAAGGTTCATCAGTAATGATTTGATATCTAGATGTCACATCACTCCTCCATTTCTAGTCTACCTACTCCCCTCCCACCTTCCAAAGGAGAGTTGTCATTCTTTATTGCTGATTCCTAGGTTCCCTGCCCAGATCTAGCTTTGATTCTGTATATATAAATGGGTCTTGTATATAGGTCTCTGTGCAGCATTGATATACTTCAGATGGATTTGAATAAAATGCAGATTTAATATTCTTGAGAGCAAAAGGGGGAGGGTCTTATGTTTTAGTCTCTTAGGGGAGGTGTAGAATTTCTTGTCTCTAAGTACTTATTTCAGAAGTGGAGCTGTGGCTCAAGTGGTAGAGTGCTCTCCTTGAGCTGAAGAGCTGAGGGACAGCGCCCAGGCCCTGAGTTCAAGCCTCAGGACCAGCCCACACAAAAAAAGTTGATGATACATCCAGAGTTGTAGAATTTGTAGGTTTTCCAAGAAATGAAGATCCCAGTTATCAATATGATTTTGTCAAAAAGTAAATGTAGTAGTCTTTTTAAAAAAAAAAATAAAACAATGGTGTGATTTGCAGCATGAAAACGGCCACCTCACCCTGGTCCCGATGGTGTTGTGGTTCCTGGAGAAGGGGTAAAAGGCCCCCAGCTGCATCCAGCGAGCACACATCTCATACTCCGCATCTCCGAAGAACCCACAGATGTCTGCCCCTGTCTGAAAAGATGCAAAAATCAGAGAATAGAGGAGGACGTTTTGAGAATGCAGATAACATTGAAATCAGGTGAGCAGGGTGCCACTCTATGACTTACATAAGGTATTCCAAAGAGACTGAACTCCATCATGCCTGCAATGGAACCACATAGCCGTGTTAGATGACGAAGCCCTGAGGGAAGCAGAGGGAAGGGTTGACCCCACTTGTCTTTGATCTCACGGAGGATGAAATTATCCAGAGCTAGGGATCAATGGTAGGAAATAGGAAACTCAACTCCTGATTTTACCCCCTATGTAGATAAGAACCTAGACATCACCAGTATAGCAAACTAGCACACACTCTGATGCCCCTCCTACCGCCAGCAGGGCCCTGGGAGCAAAGCCACACACCAATGATAGATTTCTTCAGCTGGTCCCAGGCAGCGGTGTTGTCTCCCAGCCAGTGTCCTGCCCAGCGTCCAGAAGAAGGGAATGTGGAGCGGGCGATGACGAGGCCTCGCTGCCCTGTCACGTCCTGCATGGCCCTGGTTGGAGGGGAACAAGTTGGAGGATTTGGAGATGTACAGACATGGAACTCCAGTTCACACAGGGCCTAGCTGCAGTGTGGTACATAAGGCAGCAGTGTTATTCTGTTGGGAATCAGAAGGTCTTCCTACCCCCCAAAAAATCTTCTATTCCCATCCAGACGCCTAGTTTATGCTTAAATGATGACAGAAAGGTATTTGGGGGACATCACAAAGATTTACCAAGTGATTACAACAGGCTTATCTCCTGTGGGTTCATTATGCCATTTAATTTTCATGAGGGAAACACGTGCTATGATTTCCCATAGTCGAAAGATGGAAAAGGCTATGAGAAAATGGCATTCATGAGTGGTGAAACCTGGATCTGATTTTAATACCTAAATTCTAAATAAACACACCAGCAGAGAGGAAGTAAACAAAGAAAATTCATAAAGAAGTGAGCCTCCAGGAAGGACCATTTGCGGAACCAGCTTTCCCCTGGCGAGAGACAGGGATGAGATGAGGTCTCCTCCACCAGGGGGCGGGGTAGGACATGGAAAGGAGAGCTTCCCATTGGAAACTCCAGCACGTTTCCATGCAAGAGAACATTCTTTAAGATACAATGCAAATGTTACTTCTTCTGTGAAAAGTTTCTGAATTATTTTAGTAGAGTTAGGTGTTTTTCCTTCTCATCTAAACGGATTGTACCTCCTAGAGTACTGGAGCTAAATCTTATGCATTTGTAGATAGGTGTAGAGTAACATTTGAGAGTGTAGAATGATTTTCTTTGTATTTCTTAGGAAGAGATGGATGTTTTCTTAAATAACAAGGCTTAGTGTGATCTAAAAAACCTTGGCATAGGTGAAGGAAGTAAGAGTAAGGAAGAGTAAGGAAGAGCAGCTAACAGATTCAGAAGTAATTGTGAGTGCATGTGTGTGTGTGTGTGTGCATGTGTGTGTGTGAGTGTGTGTGCACATGCGTGTGTGTGCATGTGTGCACGTATGTGTGTGCACACATGTGTGTGCATGTGCGTGCGCACATGTGCGTGCGCACGTGTGCATGTGTGCGCACATGTGTGTGCATGTGTGTGCGCTTGCGTGCGTATGTGTACGTGTGTGTGCACACGCATGTGTGTGCGTGTGTGCATGTGTGCATTGCGTGTGTGTGCGCGTGTGCACACGCATGTGTGTATGCATGTGTGCATGTGTGTGCGTGTGTGTATGCATGTGTGCGTGTGTGTGTGCATGTGTGTGTGCGTGTGTGCGCGTGTGTGTGCGTGTGTGCACACATGTGTGTGTGCGCACACATGTGTGTGTGTGTGTGTGTGAAGGGTAGGGAGGACCTCACCATTACTGAGTATGAGGACCTCCCATGTGTCAGTGATTAGCTCAGAGTTAAACATGGTGAGATTCCTCTGAGCCTTGGAAACATGAAGTGAAGGTTCAGATGCTTCACCAGTGGACACAGGAGTAGGAAAGATCATTGTGGATGGCACAATTGGATAACCATATGCAAAAGGACGAACTGGATCCTTTACACCATAAATGACACAAAAATTAACTAAAAATGCATCATAAATCTGAGTGTACAGCTAGACTGTGAACATTTTAGAAGAAAATAGAGAAATACTAATTATGGCCTTGAGTTACACAATAGTTTCTTGGATATGACATCAAAATCCCAATTGATCAATAAATGAATTAGTGAATAAATAATTGAATAAATATTTTGTAAAACAAAAATTGTTTTCCAAAGGAATTATGGAAATATAAGAGTCTTAATAACTAAGAGAAAATATCTGAAAATCATCTAACAAGGAAGGTGTACCTAGTATAAAGAATAATTCAATAAAAATAGATACATATTTAAGAGAAAGAAAATATGTTTCCATCTAAAATCTTGCCACAAATATGCAAAGCATCTCTATCTATAATAGCCCCAAATGGAAACAATTTAAAAGACAAACAAAATGTTGCATATCTAGATAGATATTCAACAAAACACTATCCATCAGTATAAAAGGAAAGAAATGCTGATTCAGAATTCAATCTAAATGAGCCTTAAAAACACTGTATCAAGTACAAGAAGCTAGACCCCCAAAACAACACATCATATGATTCTATTCATATGAGACATATAGAATAGAAAATCTAAGTAGACATAAATTAGGTTGATCATGACTGGGCGTAAAAACAATATAGTAAGCATGACTGCTAATGGCTCGATGTATTTTTCTTCTTTGAGAGAGAAAATGGTTCTTAAACTTCATTTTAGTGATAGATGTTCCATTCTGTAAATACTATATGATACCCCTCCTGCTCACTCTAACAGGCGAGCTTAGCAACTTCAATGACAAAAGTATTGTGGCTGGGCAACCAGGCCTAAGATTTTAAATTTCATTCATTTAACTAATATCGCATAGGGACAAGCACAACACAACTATGAAACAGCAAAAGGAACAATAGAGGACATTTCTTTGCTGCTGGGGAAGCAAACACGCACTCGTAGGTGGGTCTGGTCTGGGACCAGCCATACAGGCTGTGTGTGTCGTAGTGCCGCACCCGCGAGCCGTCTGGGAGGATCTGCTCGCTCTCCATGCACAGGGTCTTGCTGCTCAGGCCTCTGTCCCGAGATTCCAAGTCTGAGAGCAAAATAGTTAATTATTTCTCAAACCATTTAATTTGCATGTCAGCCCATGTCTCAACAGAACTCCTTTATTGTTAGGACTCTGCCGTCCACTAGATGGTATTATTCCCAACAGAATAAATCTTGTTTCAATCAATTTTCCATCAACTTTCTAAATGATCCGATCTTTCAGATTTCCTAAATGTGTCAGCACTTGCCTGAAACCTAAATGTGATGTGAAAAGAGAGGGTAGTAACCTAAAGAATGAATAAATAAGGTAATGAGTAACAGATCACACAGAAGACATCAAGAAACTTGAATTCTCTTAGGAACTCTCTTCTGTTCTTGAGACTCTGATCAATGAAATAATTCAGTATTCTGAGATCTCTAATCCTAACCTCTTATTTTAATTTTTACTACAGTATGATCTAAAAGTTAGAGGACTAGACTTTCATTTCTAAGCAAATTTCATGATGTGTGTGTGTGTGTGTGTGTGTGTGTGTGTGTGTGTGTGTGTGTGTGTGTGTGTGTAAGGGATTACTTAAAATTTTAGCAGTCAGGTCATGGTTAACAGAACAATCAAATGGATTCCTTGGTGTCTTTTCTAACATGACATCATTGTTGCTGTATGTGTAATTACTAATTTATTAATTTGCATGTATTCAAGGCTGTTTTATTTGAGATTTTATGTCATGTTGAAAGTTGTCCTTATAACTCCCCTCCCCCCCAAAACAGGCATTCTTTGACTTTAAGAAGAAAACACTGGGGATTTGTAAGCAGAAAAGAGTGTGATTTTACATACTTGGCATATAAGGTGGGTTGTTGAGAATTTCACTGCGGCAGCCCCCAACAGATCCATCCACAAAGTTTGATGGTTCATTCATATCCTGAAATAAGTTAGCAATGGCCTTTCCTGGAGAGGACACTAACTTCCAGCAGATGATCAGGTTGTATTCAAGCCCTCGCCTCAGCCAGTGCCTCTGCTATCCTCCCTACTCCTTGGCATTGACCCAGATGGGCTAAGAATCCATGTGGGCTGTAGTGGAGTGTTCACCTTCTTCCAGATGACTCTGGGGTTTTTCTAACTTACAAGGGTAATACTGGTTGGAGGATGGAAGGAACTCTCTTCGTTCATCTGTCCCACACAAGAAGGAAGCATGTCTTTGCCTTACTACTCGTGGATTATGTGCTTGTAGTGAAGGGTGCTGTAACCTTCCTCAGTCCTTTCTTTTGTACTGATTCTGATATTGGCATAGAGCACACACAAGGAGAGATGTCTCACTGTGCTTTAAATGCACTCTGAAAAGTTGTCATAGCTCTGAAACAAGTCTGGAACTCAATCACGTGTTGGGGAATGTATAACTCGAATGAGAGACATTAGAACCCCTGAGAGAATATCAACTGACTACTTTATCAATTAGAAAAGTTAAAATGTTGTCTGTTGTACTACCTTAAATAGGCCATAGTAAAGAAAAGTGCTCATTATTTTGCATTACCCAGCTGCATCTTTCTCACTGGGAACAAATAACTCACAGTTATAAACTCTCTTGTGTCTCAAAGGTATCCACAGTTCTTACTGTCTGGTTGTCTTTGGGGTTAATCTGTGCCTTTCTAAGGTCAGCCCTGGGCCTATCTATTCTGACAGGGCAGGTGGCCATGATAGTGAATGGGTTTAGAGGCTTGTCTCTGAATGAATCAGGAGCTCTTCCCTTCTGAGCTGAAGAGCAGAGAGAGCTCTTCATAACCAGCCTACAACTTGTTTTCAAGCCGCCTGAGAGTGGAGAAGGAAATCATGGCACTGATTCACCTCCCACTCCCAGGAATGGAGGAACACTTGGACACACATCCCAGGAATCTCTCTTCCAAAGGCCCACTGAACTCGGTGATGCAGCTGACTGAACAAGCCCTGTAAGTCGCTCAGCCTTCAGGGTAGCCTGCACCAGTTCCCTGGTGAGTGTCTCTTGGTTTTCACATTTATGCCCTGTCTGCTCCCAGCTCTGACCTATGTTGCATGATGTGCTTCTAGACATCTAGAGAAGTTTTGCCAGATGGAAGGTAGAAAGGAGGCACGCGGACAGTGGAGGGTAAGAGATATCAGGCCACCTTCCCTTCCCTCAGGCTCTGGTACATCTCCTTTGTGGGCTTCAGTGGCCCAGTGCAGACCCACAGTCAACGCTGCTAACTCAGATCATGTAACATCACCTCTCTCTTTCAGCCCTCCCAGCCTAGCTCCCTACTTCACCGTCTGTAGATTGCCTCTACATGACTGTGTGGATTGCTAACATGTCCAAAGAGCAACAAGTAAAGGTGCACTTACAAGCCACAGCCCATCAAACTTCAGGCTCTTCCCTGGCTCCCGAGGGTTCGCATAGAGCTCTTCTATCTCTTTTTTCCACCAGGAAGCTGTGCTGGGACGCAAGAAGTCGGGAAAAGCAACGTGCGCCCTGTACAGCTGTAAGAGTAACACACACTCTCACCGAGGGGCCTCCACCTATCCAGGAAGGGGGCTTCTAAGATCAGGAAGTGGAAATGAGTAGGTATTTGTGCCTGCTCAGCTCCCAGAGCAGTCTCCGAAGTAACCTCAGGCCTGCTACTGCTACTCCTGTTGAGTTTACCACTGACATAGAGATCGGGGAAAGCTGCTTTCATTCTGAATTTCTTAGAAAATAGTTAAATGACTTCAAAGTCCCTTTTAGACATAAGACGTGTTTTATGATGAGACGCTTATCTATGGAAACTAGAAAGCTAAGTATCTCTAAACCATTGAGCTTTAGCGGTACAAATGATTTGTGTAGATTGACTACATAAAGTGAAGGGAAACCATCGTACAAGGCAAAATGAACTGCACAGGGCAGTGTGGGTAGGGGCCAGGGATGTGATAGTGCAGACTGAGATCAAGGACTTTGTCCTCTCAGCTTGCTAATATTGCCTTTGAAACACAGGCCATTCATTGAAATCCACCTGTTCCTAATGGAGATCATTCAAGTGACAATATCCTGGACCTTGACTCATTATTTGTTTAGTCAATGTAAGATTTGAGTCACAGCCTTTTAAAGGCACATACACATGGGATGTCATGGATGCTTTCCTCTTATGATGTTTCCATTTATTTTTTATCTGAGAATCTCTTTTTGTCAAAAACTACCTGCAGACAAATATGCTCATGTTAAAGCTACATAAGCAAAGAAATAAAGCCCCTAAGTATCCAGATGTTTGGGGAAAGGTAGATAGACAAGTATAATGCAGCAGTACCTTAACCTGAGTCTCTTGGTCAAGAGATCCATCCACCTTCACATCTGGCAGCTCTGGCCAAGTCTAGAAAAAAAGAAGTTGAAACCCTTGAAGTCATTGTAGAAGCTGGTGATGGTAGGCAGAGGACCTTTCCAGGAAGTGCAAGGCCCTGAGTAATCCCAGGACCACCAAAACACACATTGAAGGTCATTAGATGCAGACTACGAGATGCCAGATTCTAATGCTAAGGCATCGTCACAAAGTGCAATGGTATGTTTGTCATATATTAAGTTGTAAAGACGGAATATATGAAATGCTGCTCACTACTGTGAGAAATGGGCTGGCGTTTCTTGTGTTGTTGTATATGTTTTCGTGTTTTAACCAAATTCATTTTAAATGTATCTTCTGAACAATCATCTTCTGAGTGATTACTCGTGTCTCCCATCTGGTTTCTTTTTTACCTCTAACAAAAAATCTCTTTTATAAATAGTAAACATGAAGTGTGACAATAAAGAAAAACAAATGACTTCCATTCACAGCCCAGAAGATTCATGTCAGTATTTTTAAGAGTTGGGGACCACAAGTGTATGTAGCATTTTAAAATCCACAGTGGCAACCCACTTCATGTGATTATTAGGACCTTAATGAAATATATTGATTAATTAATTCAAAGAACACCAAAAGAGCACTTGCACTGTTAATCACTTATAGAATCTGTACCTTCTAGGATTTAAGTAGGAAATAACACTTGTTTCTAAGAGCTCACAGTTCATGCATAAATGTGTACTACATGCAATATCTGAAGACAATGGCACAGAAAAACAGGCTGAGCTCCTACAGATACTGATCCCCTCACAGGGAAGATTTGAGTTGGTCTTGCAGTGCTGATGTTACCTGGGAAGCTGAGAAGGTGATATTCAAAGTGAACAGGGCCCATCCTCCGGGGAAAAACAGAATAGGGAGCAGAGTTTGAATGTGGATTAAGAACCATTGTTACATTGGGTGCACATATGCCATTGCTGATTAGGAGACATATGGCCATGAGGATTGAGGTCATAAAAAAGGAATTCAAGGAAATGAGAGAAAAAGAATCAATACGACGTGGAGATCTGTTTGTAGGAGTATAATAAGCATCATTGGTCCAGGCTGAATTCTGGCTTTGGGTGTAGGTGTCTGGGGACATAGACTTCAGAGTTGTTCTCTAAGATGGGAAGTCAGAACATTTCTAGGCAAGGCAGAACAATGAATGTTTCAGATGATTATATTTGTAATCTTGATCTTAGCTAATGGTTGTTAAGCTAATCAGCATCACATAGATTTCTATTTGCTCATAATCTGTCAATTACCCAATAGATTTTGTCCAGGATTTATGAAAACCTTTTCTGAGTCAAGAGAAAATGATGTCGATTCATGACTGATGCTTTCCCCAAGCCTCACCTTTCCCCACACAATGCTGCTGGTGTCAGGCCATTTGATGAATACGTTGCTTTCCTGTCCTCTGGTGAATGTTGGATACTGGGTCTCATTGCCAGAAATGGCTGGATCCTATAGTAAAAGTGGTAAAAGCACAACTATGAGGAAACCATCTCCAAGAAAACATTCCAAGTTTTTGATAATTCACAGCTCTGGCAGAAATGATGCATCAAAAATCATATTAAATAAATGAAGAGCCATGATTAGTTTCACATCTGTTACTGGTAAATTATTATAACCAATGAGAATGGAAAATTGTCTGAGGAATCCAAAGATAACTCATAAAGGTCAACCTCTTTCCAAATGAATAAGAATCTGTGTCAATAAAGGGAGACTTCCTAGGTTATTAAAAGAAACCACTCAAACTGTAACTAATGAAAGGGCAAAACCTGTAGCATCTGAATGTTGACACGATATGAGTGGTATTTCCAATAACATAGAAATTTATCTTAGAAAAAAATTATGAAGTAACATATTTTCCCATGAAATTCTTGAAAAAACAAGGGCCAATGTTTGGAAACAAGTGCTGGAGAGAAATCAGTTTACTAAGGCATTATCCTCAAGCTAGGAGAGGCAAGGCAAAGCATTTTCGGAATATAATAGCAATACTTAAGAATATGAAACTTCTTTCTTCTGTCCTGGAGTCCAGTATGCTCTGTAAAGGGGCCATCCCTGGTTAGCCCACCTCAGATCCAATCCAGTTACTTTCTACAATACCATGCTGTTTCACAGTTATCATAAGAACATCACTATCTAAATTAATTGTCCTTTAAATATTTATTCACTGGCTCATTCCACTAGAACAAATGCTTTTTAAGGCTGGGAAGGTGGGTCAGTGGTAGAGTGCTTGCCTTGCATGCATTAGGCTCTGGGTTCGATTCCTCAGCACCACATAAGCAGAAAAAACCAGAAGTGGCGCTGTGGCTGAAGTGGTAGGGTGCTAGCCTTGAGCTGAAGAGCTGAGGGACAGCGCCCAGGCTCAGAGTTCAGGCCTCACAACAACCAAAAAAAAAATAGAAAAAAGAAAAAGCACATCACTGTCTTCACCAATTTAGAACACACACACACACACACTCACACAACTTTTAGAATTTTTTAAGCTAGTGTTCAACAAATATTTGAATTTATGAATGAACAAAGTCATACTCAGATTTGCAAAGCTAGAAGAGGCATTTTTAAGTGACTGCTTATTTATTTCGCAAGATGCAAATTCAATGTAAGTTCACATTCTCAGCTTAGCTGTTTGAGTTGAATATGGTAGAAATAAATCCCCTGAGATCATCTCTGCTGAAGAAAGACACAAAGCAAGGGATTGTTGAGCCCTCTGAGTTGGAGACAAGAAGAGACACAGCTGCTCCTTTAGGCACAAAGCCTGAAACAGTGAGACTCTTTATTCTTTTCCTCAAACGTATTAGTAAATTACACCCTATTGATATGAAAATATGGAAAAGCATTAATTCTTAAAGTTATTTTCACTTAAAGTCATTGTACTTCTCTGTCTGTTTTAAATATATATTTATGTCTTCAAAGCAGTTATCGAAAAACAAGACAGTTGTTTTTGTTTGTTTGTGACTTTCTTCTACTTTATCCCAGCAGTATTCTTTTTGAGCCATGATTAAAAAAGAAAAAGGCATTGACGCTGTCTCAGCACCTACCAGAAGGAGAATAAATCTCATGCCGCTTTTCTTCATGTTCTCCATCAGGACACTGAGGTTTTGAAAGCTGGGGCTGAGAGTGAAGTCCAGCTTCCGGTCCATGTAGTCGATATCAACATGCTGGACATCCTGCCGGGAGGAGCAGGCCAGCACTTAGGGCTCACAGTGCACACCGACAGTGCTGCCCAACTCCAGCTCGGGCTGCTCGCTGACACCACCCATGCCCCGCCAAATCTCTCTTCTCACTACCCTGGCTCTCCAGAGGTGGACTGAGATCACTTCCTGAACCCTGCTTGAACTTGTCCTCAGTCTTCCTTCCTCTTCTCCCCAACTCTAACTCTCTCCCCTTCCCTCAATTCACGGTGTCCTCACATTTCAATTCTCAAGCTCGGCAAGCCCATCAAACAACATACTAGTTGAAATGTCCAAGGTTAGACAGTAGGACTTCTAGAAGGCACACAAAAGATTTATAGTATTTACTATAAAGTAGTATATAGATTTTATATACTATACTATTTTATAGTATACAATAAAATATAGATTGATAGATCTATAGTATACTACTTCATAGTATACTATAAAATATTGTATATATTTTACATATATACGTTTACATATATCTATATCTGTACATAACTATACATCATCCACTGCGGTGTTTGCACATGGAAACTCATCTACTCACTGATTTTTGAACAATAAAGAAAATAGGAAAAAACTTTTTTTTTTAATCTCCCTTGCCTTAAGGCTTTAGATAAAACTTGTTTGCAGAAATAGGCCTGTGCATAAGCCAAAACTTTTGAAAGGATGGACCAGTATATTATTAGCATTGGTTGTTCTTGCTAAGGTAGATCAGTGGATTGTTTTATTCTGTAATTTTCCTATTTTTTTCTTGCTTCTTCTTAACAAGTAGGATAAAAGGTATGTAAAAATTAAGTTTGGATATATATATATATATGTCAGATTGTCTTTGATAAGAACTTCATAACACTTTATTCTCATCTTAAAATCATTGATTGCCTCCTGAAAATCTTAAGAGGTGAATTAAAAACTGAGAAGTCATGGCAGACAACTGATGATTATGCAAGGAGAATGGTATACTATTTGTGAAATTTGCCTTTTTGACACCGATTGACTACAGTTCTCAGGGCTTTCCTGAGGCATTAGATTGCCACTGTAGGATATGCATAGGTTTATACATGTTTTAGAGAATGTGAAGACTTAATTTAAATTGTCTCCTTTCATATATTATCTATACCCATCTCTCCAAGGTCTGTCTCTATTTCCAAATCTCCAGAGACATAGCTTAAACACAGGCATGCCAACTGCAGGACATTCCCAATAACTGGCACTGAGGGCCAATATCCTCAGATCATTCCACAAACTGGTGAAGGATTTATGCAATTCTTAGAACCTTGACTTAAAAGGATAGAATGCAGTAAGTTTTAAAACCAGTGCATTCTTCTGAGGACTAACTCCCAGCTGCCTTTTTTTTCTACCCAAGTGATCACAGCAGTAATTTGTATGAAGCTGTTTCAATAATGATAATAATGATCTGGCACGAATTCTAGGTTTCATACATAGGGAATATGGGCTGCCATCATTTCATCATACAAACTGGAGATTTCAGTGTCATTCTGGTATCCATAGCGACTCAGCTGAAATCCCAAGGCCCAGTATGGAATCATGGCTGGCCGACCAATCAACTACAATAGAAAAACATGAATTACCCTCATTTGATCATTACGTAGTGTACACATTCATCAAGTTACCATACTATGTACCATAAATATTTACAAATATTTTATCAATATGAAAATTTCAAAGTGGAAAAATAATGGACCCAAGTAGACTTCTTAAAGAAGAAAATAGGTACTGATGACTGGTGCTTGAAATCCTAGCTACTCAGGAGGCTGAGATCTGAGAATCTGGATTTGAAGCCAGCCCTCCATGCCCCGCCCCAATCTTTATAAAATTCTTATATCCAATTAATCATCAAATAGCCAAGAGTAGTGATGTGGCTTAAGGGGAAGAGATGAAGCCTGGTACAGAAAAAGCCAAGCAAGAGAGTGAAAATCTGAATCTAAACGCTGTGTGTATGTGTGCAAGCATGCACATGCATATGCACACATACACACACATTAAATCAATCAATCAATCAATAAATAAGACAAGATGGTTGAAGCAACCTAAACACTTGTAGTAGTGAATACTGTCTCCTCACTGAAGCCAAAAGAAATAAAAAATAAGAAAGTGAAATCACAATAAGAAAGTGAATCAATGTTGCACAACCTGGAGATGAAGAATGATACAAACATTGTGGCTGAGGTTTCCTCAGATGTTCTAGCCATCACTGCAGAAAACCTGAGGCCTCTATGGTTATTACTCATTAGTACTTCCTAAGTTATTATAGACAAGCAATCAAGAGAAGTGTGGGATGCTGGTATGCCTTTAGCATCCTATAATCAGGAAATATAACTTTCGGAAAAAAATCACAACAAGCTAATGAGCACACCCAAGGAGAAAAAGAATAATTGGGCCTCAGTACTGGACTATCATAACAACATGCAATAAATATTTGGTGAATCGTCAATGGATGGAATGGCCTCCCACCTCAGTGTATTGTTGAGTTACAAGTTCGGGGGTTGGTCCCAAAACTACGTAAAAGTCCAAAATTCCTCCTGTGGTGCGGTATGTCAGGGCAGGAGTGGGTTGGAGTGTCACATCTGTAAAAATGAAAACACAAAGACTAGATCAGGAACAGCTCGTGGATCTTTAAATCACTCAGACAGGGAATTTGCTCATTCTCCTTCTCACCCCTTTCTATCTATCTCCTCTATAAAGTCTTTTCTCACTCTGTGAAGTCTGAGATGGTTTTGCAGGTGCCCAAATAAACTATGCCATCTCAACATTTCATAATACCTTGTGAAAAGGAGCTAAAGTGGCCCAGAAAATTAAGACCCCCATTAGTCACAATTTCATACTTACTACCAGAACACTTAGTAACTCCTTCATGAAGGAAGGAAGGAGTGAAAGGTCAGTTTGTTCTTCCTGTATTCTCATTGCTCCTGGATTTCCTTCTTTCTACCAACATCCCAGCCTCTGGCGAACAAGGAACTCACAGCTGCCTTACCCATGGCGTTGCTGTTGAGCAGGAGCACTCCGTGAGCACTGCCGTCCTCCTCCAACGCCATGTAGTAGGGGTGGACGCCATAGGAATTCTTCTTGTACTGGTTTAGAAAAATGTTATGACAGTAAACAACAAAGTGAAATTCAGTAAGCTATTTGCACATCACAACCCAAACAGCCAAGCCAACCCAATTCATTCACTGCTCTGCTCTGCAGAGCCTTTCTTCCCACACCCAGTAAAAAGCCACGTCTTTCCCCTCTGTGCCCTCTTCCTCATTCCATAGCTCTAGCCTAACACTGATTACACTGTGGGGTCATTATTTCCACACCTATCTCTCCCAGCTTATGAACCTTTGATGCACAAAACCAGTACCATGATTTACTTTGTGCTAAGCACCCAATGTGCTGGATAGAGAAGATACATTAAGTGCCAGACACCAGCGGCTCACGCCTGTAATCCTAGCTATTCCTGAATAGGCTGAATCGGATCAAGGTTTGAGACCAGCTCAAGCAGAAAAGTCTGTGACACTCTTATTTCTAGTTAACCACTAAACAGCCATAAGTAGAGAGGTGGCTCAAGTGGTAGAGCATTAGCCTTGAGTGAGAAAGGTAAGCATCCAGGCCCTGAGTTCAAGCCACAATACTACACAAAGAAAAATAATAAAAACTAAGTAATGGAATGCAATTGTATAATCAATAAAATCTGTGGTCCACGGAAGGGGTAGAAATTATAAACAAAATATGTGTTTTACAGAAAACACTGTATGATGGGTGACCTCCTGCAATGGAGAGCAGAATTAATTAATTAATTAATTAGCTAATTAATTAATATTGTTCTCTTTTTGTGCCAGTCTTGGGGCTTGAACTCAGGATCTGAGTGCAGTCCCTAAATGGTTTTTTGCTCAAGGCTAATGCTAGCCACAGCTCCACTTCTGATATTTTGATGGTTAATTGGAGATACAAGTCTCATAGACTTTCCTGTTCGACTGGCTTCAAATCATATCCTTAGATCTCAGCCTCCTGAGTAGCTAGGATTAAAGGCATGAGCCACCAGCACTCAACCAGATTTTTTTATAACTTAAAAAAAGGTAAAGTTGATGACTATGGCATCCTTTATGGGCAAGGGAACTAAAATTTACATAAAGATCGAAACGATTGCTAATTTTATCCCCATCCTTACCGCTGGTGGTTCATCACGAGCAAACATCCCCCACGTGTGCCAGCTCATATTTCTTCTGAAAGCCGTGTGCTCAGTTTCCCCAAAACCATAGATGTACTGAGAAGGGAGGCGAGTGGAGATGGAAAGGAACATGTCATCAAAGGTGAATCCAGGAAGCTGAGAGTCCCAACTGCAACACAAAGAAAGAGGTTACAGGGCAAGATATAGGGAGTGTGGCTGATGGTTCCAACACCCCCTGAACTACTGGGCATCTGGGTTGAGTGAAAATTTTGTGAAGTGACAGTAGCCATATCTCATGCTTTCATCCTTATACTATGGTTTGCAAACCTAAGAGTTCCTTTTCCAAGTCATAGATGAATTGAGGTCCAGCACTGCTGTCTCATTCATCCTTCTATTCTTAGTTCTCAGTACCTGGCCTATCAGCTTGAATAAACACATGAATGAATAAGTTCACTTGCAAGTATTTTCCAATGGAATATATATACATATATATATTATATTATATTAGAACAACTTCTCTGTATTCTAAAGAAGCTACTAGGGCTAGGAAGGTGGCTCAGTGGTATAGTGCTTGCTTTGCATGCATGAGGCCCTGGGTTTGATTCCTCAGCACCACATAAGCAAAAAGAAAAAAGCCGGAAGTGGCGCTGTGGCTCAAGTGGTAGAGCGCTAGCCTTGAGCTGAAGAGCTGAGGGACAGTGCCCAGGCCCAGAGTTCAGGCCCCACGACCGGACCCAAAAAAATAAAAAATAAAAATAAATAAAGAAGCTACTAAAGAGGAGAAATTGGACATAGAGGCAGACACAGGAGAAGGCATTAAAAAGGAAGAAACATTGGCACACACAGGTGACAATGCCCGGTAGTGCCAGGAGCCTCATCCCAGGAAAATCCTCACGTTGTGCAGCAAGACAAAGCACGGGTAAGGCCAACAGCCAATTCCTTTGTGCTAGCATTGTGGACAGACTTTGTTGATGATGACAATAGAAGCAAATGCTATATGAAGCCATTTCTCTCTCCTGCCTCTTCAGATATTATTTCTTAAAAATAATATTTCTTAGTGAAGCTTAAGAGGGAGCAGACTTACATCTTAGGTTATACATTGTAATTATTCAATAGAGTTTTCTGCTCTGCTTTACAAAATTAACATAGAGAACATATTTTTTTTCTGTGGAATCAAGCAACAATTTGTTTGTTTGCTTATTTTTGCCAGTCCTGGGGCTTGAACTTTGGACCTGGGTGCTATCTCTGAGCTCCTTTTGCTCAAAGTGGGAACTCTACCACTTGAGCCACAGTGCCGCTTCTGGCTTTTTTTGAGTAGTTTATTGGAGATAAGAATCTCAAGGACTTTCCTTCCCTGGGCTGGATTCAAATCATGATCCTCAGATCTCAGCTTCCTGAGTAGCTAGCGAGCAATTTTTTTACAAAATCTTTAAATACAGGGGCTAGGAAGGTGGCTCAGTGGTAGAGTGCTTGCCTTGCATGCATGAGGCCCTGGGTTCGATTCCCAGCACCACATAAGCAAAAAGAAAAAAGCCGGAAGTGGTGCTGTGGCTCAAGTGGTAGAGCGCTAGCCTGGAGCTGAAGAGCTGAGGGACAGCGCCCAGGCGCAGAGTGCAGGCCCCACGACCGGACCCAAAAAAAAAAAAAAAAAAAACTTTAAATACTGATTTTTTTCTGAGTTAATGACTAATAGAAAAATTAATTCCCTAATGAAGCAGGACAGAATCCATGTACCTCTCACTGTTATACGCAGTGTCTGAGATTAGCATTTCACTCACACCAATGCATATCTTTGCGAATACACCAGAACCATTCTCAGAACCAAACCAATAGTGCTTACATCACAGTGCTAGAGTTTTTGCGTCGGATCTGGATTCCAAAAGGATTGGTCTGAACCCTGACATCATACAGACAGTTTTCAGGGGAGCCAGCTGGTGAAGGAGGGGTGTTCAGAGGTACAGGTACCTCATACCTTTTAGTAGTGGGATCATAGATCTGGCAAAGAAAAAGAAGAAATCTTTTTTGGATGGAATCATGTACTACAACCTCTCATGCCCACCAATGTAATGCAATTCTGATGCTGTTGTGTGGCTGAATTTGAATCCACTTTAGGACATCGAATATCTCCAAGCAGGAAGATGTGACTTCTGCCCACCTGCTATGGCTGACGCAGATGTTGAACTTCAAAACTGCCCCAGTAACATTCATTCATAACCAGGGAGGGCATGCTCTCCAGACAACTCAAGATCTAAGAGTGTAGAATCTCATAGACAGAACATATGTGTACAAACTGTGTGTGCCAACTCAATGCATGTGTGTGTGTAACTACGTAATCACGTGTGTGAGCCTGTGGGTGTACACAAGGAAACAGAAAATTGAGTTCATATGGATTCCAAGACTCCTTCCTCTTTGAGCTTCCACCTGTAGCTCAGATTTTACACTCCTGAAGTTTCCCTTTTGTATCCAACCACTGTTCTTACTTACTGAATAGAATTGGTGTGTAGGGAAAATGCAGAGTGAATCGTGCTATGCCAAGACATTAAAAGCCAACATCACTTCCTCGTGGTATTGGTATAATATCACTTCCTCGTGGTATTGATATAACACTTTATGATTTGATGGAAGTATTTTTCCCCCTAAAGCCTTGCTTTTCAAAACTTCTCAAACCTGAAGCAATTGTATGACCTGGGGCCTTGCCAGCCAATGCAGATTTTTAGCCCTTCCTCTCCAGCTGCTGACACAGACCTTCTATTTCCCCAAGATATTCGGGTGCTTTACAATGCATCCAAATGTGCAAAGCAATGCAGCCAGCCAAGCTGACTGATGCCAGGGTCCTAGGCCACACATGGATCCTGAGTTCCAAGAGTTTCGAAGTCTAAAGTGATGCTTGTTGTGAGTGCAAAATACACATCAGTTTTAGAGATATGACTAAAGGACTGTGAAATCCTGCACAATTTAATTTGGATTTTGAGATGAAATGGTATTTATTTTAACACAGCGGTTAAATAAAACTTTACTAAAATGACTTTCATTTTGTTCGTTTTTTTTCAAACACCAATACTGGCAGTCAAGGGAAGGGCAACAGAAGAATGGAGAAAGAGTGGGCAAATGTTCTCATGATATCATATACCATACACGATATACATATATCTCAGGATACACATAGGTGAACCATCTGAAGCCCGGTAACTTGAGGGAATGGGAGGGGTTGGGAGATAGAAGAGGATGACAAAAGGGTAAGCTGACAATGCTGAATGAAACACATTTCTACAACTACTTGAGGGTAATAATTTTTTTAAATGAGAGCACAAAAACCAAGGCAGAAATAAAAACAATACTATGTGGTTCACATCTCATATCTAAGGTAGAGCCAGGCAATGAGTTGTGGAGTGTGACTTTTGACCTGCAGTGTCAGTATCATCTGGGAACACATTAGAAATGCAGATTCTCAGGCCAGACCCTCAGAATTGGAAACTCAGGAGGTGAAGTGCAAAAGTCTGGATAGTTACAAGATCTGAAGGTGATTTTGATGAATGCCAATGCTTCAGCACCACCATTGCTAGACAAACTACTAGAAATGCTGGAGTAAGTTAATGTTTTTATATGCATTAACCATAAAGCAGACCCATGTTCTCCAGATTGAGGGATAATTCTTTGAGGACATTTATGACTCGGAAGATTCTCCATTGTAGGATATTCACAATCCTTATGGATCTAAAAAGTCACATACTGGTTCTATTATCTACTAGCGTTGTGAATTTTACCTCTCTGGGCCTTAGCTCCTGTGTCTATGAAATGAAGAACTTGAGCTGAAAGTCTTTTACAAACTTCTATCTCTACCGAGCTGGGAGTTTTCCTAGTCTGAGAACCAGAATCTGCCACCTGTGAATTACCTTGACCTGAAGCATGGTTTCTGTATGATAGATCACGTTCAGTTTAAGGCTGCTGATCTTTGCAGAAAGAGACTCAGAGATGCGAGTGGCAGCCGCTGCTGGCTTTGAAGGAGGAACTGCTGTTCTTGCAGATTCTGGGGCCTCCAAGAGGGTGAGATCAGTGGTGATGCCTGTGGACTGGTACTGAATGTTGCTGGCAGCATAGGCAGCAATGGTGTCATAGTAGCAGCTGGGCACACCTGGAGCTGCTGTGTACTGAAATGACAGAAGAGCTCATGGTCAGTTTCTGTGACCACACTGAGATTCCAAGAGCTGCTTAACAGACTCAAAAGCTTTGCCCATCGCTCTTGGTTCCACTGTGACTAGCTACCAAAAGATAATTTCTAAACCTTCAGCCTATGAATGGATGGAACTGCTTGAAATTGAAACTGGATCGTTGCAGATGATTGAGATGTCACTGCGATGAGTTCTAATACAGTATAACTGGTGACCTGATTAGCAGGGAAAATTTGAACCCAAAGGTGAACACACATACACACACACACACACACACACACACACACACACACACACACACGTATGCATGCACGCACACATGCACACACATACATTGTTGGTCTCCGATAATGAGTGAACAGAACAGAAGCAGCCAGAACACTAATCTGGCACCTGGATTCTCAGCTCTAGTCCTGCTTACAGTGAATTATTGCTCCCAATTTAATTGTGAGGAAATCTCTCTACTATCTGGATTTTGCTCAGATAAAAAGGATGAGCTTTGCCTTACCCTTCCTGTCTGGGCTTTCCAAAGGATTGAAAAAAAGGAAAAGAATCACTTAAAATACTCAGTACTGCTGGGCACCAGTGGCTCATGCCTGTAATCCTAGCTACTCAGGAAGCTGAGATCTGAGGATCACAGTTCAAAGCCAGCCTGGCAGGAAAGTCCACAAGACTCTTCTCTCCAATTAACCTCCAGAAAACCAGAAGTGGTAGAGCATTCACCTTGAGCTGAAGGGTTCAGGGACAGTGCCTAGGCCCAGAGTTCGAGCCCCACGACTGACTAAAACAATAACACCGAAAAAAAACTCAATGTATTGAATAAATGCTTTTTCTTTCTAACACATAATAACTGATACTTTAATGATTACAGATGACAATTTGATGCTATTCATCCTCCCATTGCCTACTGGACCCCATATTTCCCTCCCCCATTTCCCTTCTTTGATTGTCCTCAAATGTGGTTTTGAAGGATATAAATGGACAGACAATGAGAGGGTCACTGCACTCCTTCTGACACGGGATACCTGAAGGCAAGGCTGCCCGTGTTATTACACAGAGCTGACAAAATGCATGTTGGCACGTGGTCATGATAGTCTCCAAGCCTCCACCGTTCCACAAGTACTTCCTAAGTGCCTGACTAATGCGTGGGGGACTGTTCACCACTTCCTCATCCCTACGCCCTCTGTTCCTGACCATTACCTCCCAAAGGCATCCCCGCTGCCGGCAGCTCGCCTCTGACACGGCAGGATCCTCAGGGTAGCAGTTGAACTTCTCCAGGTCACTGACTAGAAGCTTCCACTCAATAGAGAATTCTCGCCCGAGTGCCAGTCCCTTGAGATCCGTGATGGTCAGCACCTGGAGGAGGAGAACAGGGACCCTGGACTATGTGGATTATGCTTCTGCCTCATGGTCTGGAAGCCTCCCATGCCACTTTGGAGTGCTTGGGATTGGCCTTAATCTGACATTCCATTTAGACTTACTATTATCTGCTTAGCAAAATGCTTTTGTGGGAATAATGATAATAGAAGCAGTAGCTAAATGTCATGCAGCATTCCTATTGGACCATGATAATCTCTTTATAAGCATTAGGGCCATGAATCCTATCAATTGGTCCCTTGGTATGAATGCTATGGCTACGTCCACTTTACGGAAGATAAAAGTGAATTATAAGTCTGATATCGTACCTAAGATGTCACAGTAGATGAGGACTGGAGTCCTATTCTGCCTAAACCTAGAAAACAAGCTCCTGCTCTCTGCTATATGTATTTTCAAAGTAGAAGATGACTGAGTTAAGGAATAATTAACTTCCCAGACCTTCAAATAATAATTGGACTCCTCTCTCTGAATTTATCATATAAGGGAATCACTCAGTGAGAGCAAACCCAGATTCTCTTGTGTTTGCTCCCATTCACACTTTTTCTTTCTTTTCTTCTTCTTTTTTCTCCTTCCTTCCTCCTTCTCTTCCTCCCTCTTTTCCTTCCTTCCTTCCTTTTCTTCTCTCCTTTCTTTCTTTTTGTGCTGGTACTAGGGCTTCAAGACTTCAAGGCCTTGCATTCTCCCTTAGCTTTTTCACTCAAGGCTGGCACTCTACCACTTAAGTTATAGCTACACTACAGCTTTTGCTGATACATTGGAGATAAACTCTCTTGCATTTGTCTGGATTCACACTGTGATCTTCAGATCTCTGCCTCCTGTATAGCTAGGCTTACAGACATGAGCCACCAATACTTGGTTCATATTTTCTATCATGGAATAAAACTAGCATGAAACAGTGGCATTAAGGAAATACATCCACGGTGTCTCAAAGACATAGGTCCAAAGTCTCTCAAAGAAAGTCTTTACTAAGAGGACACTTATGTAAGTACTCGCTAGAAATAGGACAATCTATTCTGCAGTATTTTTACTGTGTCACATCTGGGGTCTTCTTGTCTTTTTAAAATTGAATTTCAGGAAAAAACAGCATGTTCCCTTATGATACTAACTCTTGCTATCTCCTTTAGGGCTTAATGCACACAAAGTGAGCAGGTCTGTATTATCTTTCTTCCACATTACCCCTGTCCTGTGGCTTTCCCAATAAGCTGTTAACTGTACCAAGTCAAAAGAGCAAGAGATGGTCAGCTGTCAGAATCTGAGGCCAGAGCTTTTCTCAAGGACTCTACCGATGGAACAATCTCTCACCTTTGTTGAAGGGCTATACGCAATGCTTGAAATAGATGTGGAGGCATCATTAACTACAACAATAAAATCAGTTGGCTCCTTGTCCATGCCCAAGATTCTGATATTGGTAAACATCAGGTTGTCAGGGTCCGTGTAATTGTTATTTATAATCTTTGCCTGCAGACGGTTCTAGGGAGAAAAAGTCATTTTAGAAACTGTGCCCTTTGTATTCAACATCTGCTTCTGAGATCTAAGTTGTTTCATTTTTCTCTGTGGTTCTAAAGGTGACTGTCCTCAAGGAATACACAAGCTCAGACTTAATACCCTAAACCCTAGTGTGAAATTTCAGAGCTGCTTTGGTTTACTAATTCTTTTCTGGTTCTATTTTTCTGATGATATGACCCTGGATTATAGAATTTTAAAGTAGTTGCAGTGCAAACAGAGACAAAAGCACATACAGAAACACACTGCCTCACAGCAGTATCAGTAATTTCACACGTGAAACTACCCCAATCACTTTTTGTTTCTATATTAGGAACAATGATAAAAACTCAATGAAGACTTTCCATATGCCAGACACTGTGCTAAGTACTCTACATACATCATAATCCTCTCAGCAGGCTGAGGTTGAAAGTATAATTGCTTCCATTTTCGATGAGCTTACAAAAACACAAAAAAAATTCAAAGCTAAAGAAAGAACCTCAAAAAGGACTTTGCCACTTATCACCTGCCCCGTGTGCCAGGAGCACCTCACTCCTCAGTAAAGACGTGTCTTGCAAGTCAGGACTCATCATGAAACTTCAAAGGCATGACATTTTTTCTAGGATAAAACTCCACCATTTCTGCACAGAACTCATACTAAGGTTCTAAACGTTCACGCCTGACACACATTCAACACCTTGATGTTCACTTGAATCCTCTGTGGGATCTTCATGGTCAAAAACAGTTCTTGCTTCACATGGCTGTGCCACTACAGAGCAGCAAGGACTCCACAAGCCATTTTATGACAAAGCTCCTCAAAGCCAGTACTTACAGACGCCACGGAGAAATCGTACAGGACATAATTCTTTCCAGTTACAGCATCTGAAAGAGAAAAATGCATGTCTATTACAGGAAGCAGAGGAGCTGTGGGATCGTTTTCTACTCTGGAATGCTTTTGCATTTAATTCTTCTTATCTGAATCTTGCCTATTGTGACTCAAATTATAATTATTTCCACCAAAGCCAATATTTATGCTACATTTATCTCTATATCTTGGGCATATAGTATAATAATATAGCAGTAAATGCTAAATATATAACACATATATATTTAATATATGTGTTATATAGTATAATATAATATTAATATATTCTTTAATGTTTTTTAATATTCATTAATAATTTTGATTTCTATTAAGGAAAGGTGTTTTTTATAACAGTGCATCTAAAAGTTTATGTGACATTCATCTGAGGTTCCTTACAGTGGAAGTATATGAAACAACCTCTATACTTCTGGCTTACTGGTACTTTGCACAGTTATTAACAAAATACATTTATTGGTATGAATAATGCCATACTCAGAAACTAAAAACAATGGTGTCTATTGCATGGAGAAAGTCCATTACACACTTGGAGTCTATTTTAATTCATTATACTTGACTAACAAACCTTTTAGATGAGTTGTAACTCATCCGCTCTAAGCTAGAATAACAAGCCATTACTACTAGGATTACTGCTTTTGGGGTCAGACTTCCATGATTAATGTTCACCCAGAATCCCAGCCATCATCCCCTGAGAACGACTACCTTTAGACATGCCATCATCCCAGTACAGCTCTCCCTTTGCTTCTCTCTTATAATCCAAAGCAACAATGAGTCCCAGGGAATTCTTCCGGCTGAGAAAAGCAATGCTCAGGTTCAGAGAATGAAGACATGGCATTGTCTCCTGATGTCCCCCAGGACAGGTTCCCCAGCATTTACTCTAGAACTGGAGTAGATATTATCATTGTGCATAGAGAGGAAGATTGATTATGTGTGGGCAGCAGAGTGAAGTAGAGCAAGATAGAAAGAATGCTAGAGAACAGAAACCCACTGAAATCTGGTGTATGATCATCTATCATTGGTGCCAGTTGTCATCTAGGTATGATGCTATACACATTAGCATTATTATTAATCCATTTAGCCCTCATAATGATGTTGAAAAGGTCAGACTACTTTCTTCCTCCATTTACCAATTACAAGCATGAACACAAAGAAATAAATGTCCCAGGGTAAACATACCTAGTATATTGGAGAGCCAGAGTGAACTCAAACTCTTTCTTCTCTACAGTCTGAGCTCTTAAGCTCCAAGCTACACTGACTACCACATGAACACCATCACCTCCTTTTTAATTAGCATTCCTTCTTGTCTTAGAAAAGGGTAACTTCCAACCATAGTTATTATAATGATTGCCTTGATTGTTCTCATAATCCAATGTGATTGGATTGTGAATAACTACAGAAATATAAAGGAATTGACACTAGATGCATCCCCTACTAAATGAGGGTTCCAAAGCAAATTTTGGTACAATTCTGAATAGAGAGGAAAATTGCTGAGTGGATGTATTTTCCCTTGGCCCATCAGCCCTCAGTCCCTGTTTGTGTCTTCATTATGCTAGAGCAGACAGGAGCTTACCTGGTCTCCGTGGTTGTGTTTGGCTCCTGGGTAGGAAATATGCATCCCCCTCGTAGGTGAAGTCCTATCCTATCATCAGGAAATAGCATATCTACAAATTGCTTCCTCCATTGGATGGCCTCTCCCTGATTAGCAAAGGGAAAAAAATTAGATCATAAACTAGACCAGCTAGGAAGGACCCTAGAGATAGATCATTTAGTTCAATTGCCTCATTTGAAAAAAAAAAAAGAACAGGAAGTGATTTTTTTCCAAGATGCCTAACTAGTACAGAACAGAGTTGAGAATCCAACTTCTATTCCTTTCTCTACCTCACACACTATACTCTATGCAGGAATGTCTCCCAGAGTTCAGTTAGTTAAAGAAGAGGGCTTTCTCTTGACACTACAGGAAGGTGATGGAAACTGGGAGAGATGGGCCCTAGTAGGATGGTTTAGGTCATTGGGCATGTTCCTTTGAAGGGAATTATTGTACCCTGGACTCTTCCTTCTTTCTCCCCAGCATTTCCTGGACACGACTAAGTGGTTTTTCTCCACCATAAGATTTCACCAAAGGTCCAAACCAATGGAGCCAGCTGATCATGAAGGATAACTTCTAGAATTTAAAACCCAAACAACCTTTTTTCTTTTGATGCATTGATAACTGTTACCTGGAAAGCTAACTCTACAACTTAGCTTGAATTCTCTGTTATCACAAAGACCAAAAGCTAGGGGCTGGGGAGGTGGCTCAGTGGTAGAGCGCTTGCCTTGCATGCATGAAGCCCTGGGTTCGATTCCTTAGCACCACATAAGCAAAAAGAAAAAAGCTGGAAGTGGTGCTGTGGCTCAAGTGGTAGAGCGCTAGCCTTGAGCTGAAGAGCTGAGAGACAGCGCTCAGGCCCAGAGTTCAGGCCCCACGACCGGACCACCCCCCCACAAAAAAAAGACCAAAAGCTAGCACATCAGTAATCAGATTGAGACAGCAAATTTCCATAAATCTACTCCAGCTGTACCATAACTGCATTTTACTGTACACTGGAAAAGTTGTCCACTATGACATGAATGTCTCTCTAATATTCCTATGTTAGAACTCAATGTGACAGTATTAAGGGGATGAGAACTTCAGGTAATTAAGCCACAAAACCCCAGAAAGAGTCTACCATCAGGGGAGTAGTCAGCCCTCTCCAAATACTAAATGTAACCGTGCCTTGATTTTTGGTCTTCCATCGTTCATAAGTTATCCAGTGTAAGGTATTTTTTAAACCATTCTAAATAGACAGATACCCCTTACAGAAAAGTACACAATCAACTAAACATAAAACCTTGTACTTTTATCCAGCCCTCAGTCCCCAAGTCTGCTAGTTTAAAATGATCCTATGCTACAGGCAGGTCTCAGCGACAGATGAGGATACTTTACTTACTGTCTCATAATTATACCAGATTGCATCTGGGATGTATGCTTTCACTTGGTCAACGCCCTGCGGAAAGAAAAACAGCTAACGTGATCATTGTCCTTAACAGTTTGTAGGCTCTGCCATGTGTCACTGACTGAGGTATCTGAAAATTCTACAGGACAGTTGGACCATCTGATTCTACTAAAAAACACAGAGGCTCAGCAAGACTGAGCAGTGTATTCAAAGCCAACCTGTTACCTAGAAATTCAGTTCCTTCAGTTTCAGTGTTCCTTGTTTTCTAGAAAGAGAGGCAATTCATTCTCTGAGTCACGCCCTTTGACTGTTGGGAAGAGACAGGGGGCACTCAGGCCCGCAGCAGACCCTTTCATCTGGGTCCCTAACCAATTAGCACAATCTATCCTCAGCTGATGTGTTAACATTCCAGCCCAGAGAGCCTTGGGCATGTGCACATTGTCAATCTGCCATCGTTACAATCCTGAGCTTTCCACTTCTCTGCTCACTCCTGCCCCAATCACACTTAAGTAAGTGTGCTGCACATGGCCTTCATATATAGACATCCTTCCTTCTTCTCCTCTTCACACCTATTCTTTCCTTCTGACTCAACACCAAGAGCAATCCCCTCTGGAAAACAAGGGGCATGCAAGTGTACATACATTCGCACACACATACATGTACCCACACACTGTAGGATATCAATGCTCATATCAGTACTAGCTTGTTAAAGGGCTATAAATACAGGTTATAAAGCAATGTTATCACATGGAAATTCTTTTACTTGGTGGGATATTAAGAAAAAGAATTCCTATTTTCCTCATTTCTAAATATTCATGATCTGTCTCCTTTATGTTTCTATTAAATCTAATCGTAGGCACTGCAGACCCAGCTCATCCAGCTTATCTAGGACAACTGCAATACTCCACCCCATTGTTTAGATTCCAAACATACTTCATACAGAATGGGGGTGATGAGGAGCCCAGAACCCCATAAGAACTGCTCGTGTATGTCCCACGTGGCTGGGTCCTGGTAGAACCTAGAAAACAGAGCCCCGTGAGGCAAGTGAAAATTTCAATCTAAGCCTACATGCACCGACCTTGTCACCAAGAAGGTCAAGTGAACTTGTGATCTGAAGAAAGTCTTTGAGGATCAAGAAACTCACTCATGTACCAGGGGCCTCGCTACTGTGTCCCCCCGAGTGTGAGCGCGATAGAAGAGGGTGTAGAGGTAGGGCAGCAGGGAATAGCGAATGTTCAGATAATGTCTGGAGGAGTCCAACAACAGTGAGTCCAAACCAAAGGCCGCGGGGTCCTGGTCCTAGAAGGAAATGGAAACAATGACTGAATATTTCTTTCCGTCATACTTTCAACTGTTTTCTTTGGATAAGAAGCTTTCCCAGATACACACAACTATGATCTCCAACTCAGAGAATATCAGAGCATTCTCAGAACTGAATCGATTCTGGCTCTGCTCTTTTATTTTATGGTTGAGAAAGTATTTGTGAAGATTACATGACTGACCCACTGTGCTATTGCCAACAATTTGGTTTCCTTCTTCTTCTTCTTCTTTTCCTTTTTTGGAAGTTGGGGTTGGAACTCAGGGCCCTTGCACTTGCTAGGCTAGTGTTCTATCGTGATCATTTGGCCCATGCCTCTAGCCTGGCTTTTTTTGCTTGCCACTTAGGAGATGAAGTCTCACATAGCTTTATGGGAGAATTTCCAACCTTAAACCCATTCAATGAATGTTGAAAGGGGTGATGTTGGTGAAGATATATTGTAGTCATTAACTGCTTTGTTAAATGGCAACTCCTTTGGACAACTAATTAAAGATCATAATAAAAATTTAAAAATTAAAAAAATCAATGCACACACACATAGCTATTTCCCTACAATCTCACCCAGATGACCTACTTTTAGGCTCCTCACCCAAGATTTCTCTATCTTCCTTCTTCAGTTAGTGCCAACGTGTAGGATTTTCCTGAACCCCTTTGTTGAGAACTAGTAGATGCTACAATCACGGTGGTCCCATCACTTGTCCCGAGCCCCTTACCCTGTACTCTGGTCCATTGTGGTTCCTTGATAGTGGATAAAATGCTCCAAGCTGCATCCACCTTCTGCAAAGTGCTTCAGTCACATTGTTTGTATAACCACAGATGTTGGCCCCCACCTGGGAATCAGCATATACACAGGCACAGCAGTCACTTAGAGAAGCAAAAGCACTGACTACAGACCTACACGGTTAAGGAAAAGAATCTGGTATTGTTCTCATTCCTTGTTTCAAGAGATCCCATTGCCCATCCAAAGAAAAGAAACAAGAGTATGAGCTATAGTATAGACCAATCTCCTATAACTAGGGGTTTTCTTCTTTATTTAGTTCCCGACTTTATACTTCCCAACTCACTGATGCTGTCCAGATGGAACTTCTCCGATTCTAAAATATTTTATGCATGGTGTTTCTTTCCTACCTCCAAAGATTTCATGGAAGACCACCTATGATTAACATTTTTCCAACATCTCTTCTGTAGGCAGCTCATCACACACATAGAAATCAGCTTTTCTAGCGAACATCACAGTGTCACATTGTGACATGTGTTCTTTCTATTTGTTTTACTTCTTTCTTTCCTTTCTTTTTCTTTTCTTTCTTTTACCTGCAACTGGGGCTTGAACTCAGGATTTTACCCTTGTTTGGCTGGTGCTGTACCACTTGAGCCACACCTCCTGCCCTTCTATTTGCTACTGATATTGGTGATGGACTCTAGCAAACTCTTCTGTCCAGGTTGGCTTCAAACTGAAATCTTCCAGATCTCTACTTCCTGTGTCATTAGGATTATAATTGCAAGCCACCAGCATCTAGCGCTCTTTAGTTTTACAAACACCCTCTAAGACTGGCAATGGAAAGAGTGTCAAAGGGTACTGAGGTGTAAAAACAACTTCTTGGTTGGAAATGAGGCTCACCATCGGGATGCCAAACAGGTTGAACTCCAGGATGCTGGGAATGGACCATCGGAGGTCATCCCACGTGGCCTCATTATCCCCCAGCCAGTGAGCAGCAAACTTGCCAGAGCCAGCAAAAGTAGATCGCGATAAGATGAAGCTCCTTTTATTAGAGAAGATCTTTCCCATGGCACTGAAAAGTATAGTACAGCCTGTTGAGTGTGAGGTAAGCCATTGCAAATCTAGAACTCACTTATACCAAGGTAGCATGGGATTCTCAGCCAAACCAGAACGACAACATCAAAAACCCTTAATACTATCAAAACCCAGATTTCCACAGTTTGCCATGTTTAGTTTTTTTCTTCTTCCACTTTCTGGGTAAGGTTTCTGATCTCTTTATAAGCTAATATAAACCCCAATTTCTGTCCTCCAAAAGTATTCCTTTCAGGTCCTGTCCTAATTGTGGTTTCTACTTCCTGGTAAAGAAGATCTGGTTTCAGTGTGGTCTATTAATGGACAATGTATTATGATCATGTATGGAGTTACAGGCCCCACCCTTACCTGTAGAAAATCTTTTTCTACCCTCCCTTGCTGCCCAGACATAGAATCCTGCTTAGCACAACACCACTTCACTATCTTCACTACCCCTTGCCATAAACAAGCAAGAACCTCACCTTTTCTTGCCACTGGCTAGAAGCTTATTGCCCGTGCAATCAATGATTGTGAAAGAAGCATATAGAAAGTAAAGCGAAACCAGGATGGAGATCTCTCAGGTTAAATCTGTGTCACTATGGTCACACAGGTTAGATAATACTGGTTTTTCCTGGGTTAGAGAAAACACCTGATTGAGAGCCAGATCCCTACAATTCCCTTTCCCCTCAGACCTGGGCTATTCATAATCAGTTCATGATCATGAGAAGGAGTTGTCTTCTGCTTTTTAGGCAAGACAGAGGTGAATTGGACTCTCTGGTTAGCTCAGGGACCAATGTCCCCAAACCAAACTCCCACCTATGGTTGAATTGAACCTGCATTAGACCTGCAATTTTAGTTCTTCTGATGTCCAGATATCACCAAATGAAAATTTTACCTGACAATGCCAGAGAAGGCAGAGTCACCCACCACTTACCCAGAAGTAGTTACCATGTAACTATTAATAATAGCTATTAGAATATAGTAACCAATGAAGTAATTCAGGCAATTAAGTAATTTGGAATTCTCTCTCCTATAATCCTCCCTTACTTTCAACATTTATTTACATCAGGACAGAGACAATTGTAAACATCAGTTCAATTCTCTCATATCAGAGAGCTTGAGTCTTATTTATCTAGCTTATTTCCTAGAAAAGGCAGTATGACTAAGAGAGAAAATAGGAAAGATAACAAAATTAGAAGTTGTTGCCTTGAAAGGATCAAGGTCTGGTTTCACATAGAGTCATAAAAGAAAGAAAGGATGATGGGAAGTTTCTCACTTCAGAGTCTGGGAGATAGAGATGGTGTCACCAATAACCAAAATAAGGAATCCAACAACTTCAATAATGATTAACCAACAAAGTGTGGAAGTTAGTGAATAAAAAGTAGTAAGGTATTGTAAAGCACTCACGCAAAAGAGGTCAAACAGAGTGAAGTTCTGTGGCTTACATCTGTAATCTTAGCTAATTGGGAGTCAGAGACTGGGAGATCATGGTTAGAGTCCAGCCTCAGCAAAAAAACAAAAGAAGTTCTATGAGATTCCATCTCAGCCAACAGTTGGAACATGGAGAAAGACCCTGCTATCTCTCAGCTGTGGAGGAAAAGCAAAGGCTGGGCATTACATTATGCATCTGTCATCCACAGGGGAAAATGGGACCTCACAGGAGCCAATGTCCATTTGGGGGCTCCGATTTCCTTACCAATGATTGCTTATAAAGATCCTTGAAATAATAATGCTTCTTAATCCCAAATCAATCAAACTTAATCTTGTACAGAAACCAAGCATTTTTTTTTTAATGAGAGGACCTCTTAAATTACCTGTCACACCAATTTCTACATCCTTATGACCACAAAAACATATTTAAACAATATGTTTGTGGGTGAGAAGAGAAATCCTCCCACCTCCCATTTCCACTACCCCAAACCTGGATTCGTGTAGAAAACCATGTTCTTACGAGTCTGTGGCTTTTGCCATGGTGTAGCCGTACAAGCTGTGGATGTCGTAGTGAAGGCCCCAGTAAAACTCTGTGTCCATGCACAGGGTTCTTGCAGACAGTGAATGGTTCAGAATGCCTAGGGGGAAGTACCCATCAGTGAGGCCCTTTCCCCTCCACACACCTCAACAAAATAGCCACCAAATCCCTTTCTTCCTGGTTACTGGACCATCCCCACCAATCACCACTGACAGAATCTTTTCCAGATCTTTAATTCTACCCTGAATACCACATCTTTTCAGGGCCTACATTGAGAGGAGGGAGGGATGGAGGGTTAGAGGGAGGGAGGGAGGGAAGAAAAAGTATGACAGACTTACTTACTTCACTGTAAAGTATTTGTACCTTAGAGTGTTTTGAAATTCTCACAAAATCCATAATGGACATCCTGAGAAATTTGGAGGTGATGAATTGATTGAAAAAGTTTGTAAATCTGGAGTAGAATAACTGCCAGAGGAGGGAACAAGCTCAGGCTAACCATTTCTACCACAGGCTACCCTGGATTACATCAACAAACTAGTCATCAAAGACCAAGCACCACCACCAAGACTGGAGTGGAAAGAGGGCTGTGAATGTTTGGGGGACTCACAGGATTGGGAAGTGAATTGCTCTTTGCCACACTGAATATCACAGAAGTTGTTTTCAACATTTCTCCTCTCCATATCATCAGCAAACAAGGGGAAACTTACTGGGAGTAAAAGGAGGAAAGTTTAAGTTGTTTGCTTCACACTTGTGATCAGAGCCTTGGGCCAAGGTAGATACTTCATCCATTTCCTTCAAAGACACAAAGTAGAAAATATTACTGAGTTACAACTAGCTGTTGAAGTGTGTTATCTAACTAGAAGTCAGGCTGTCTAGGGTATCCTGCTACCTGGCTTTAGATCTGAATTGTCTCCCCAAGTTTTCCTGGCCTCTGTTTCAACTTTTGTAAACTTAAGTCAGTGGGATTAAGTTATAGCTAAATTACATTCCAGCTTGGAATAAGAATGAACACATTTTACTTTTGATAAATTGATTTTAATCTATTAAGAGATATAATTCCAAATGTGCTCTTAGAACTTGTGAAGATCTTATTGATGGTGTCACTGTGCTGCATGCTTAAAGAGCCAAAGATTGAGTAATTGCTTTGTTCTATTACTTTCCCTGTCTCTTATTCCACTAAATAAGAAGTAATAAGAGAAAACAGTTAAGGTAAAACTCATTTATCTAAAATGACCTAAAAATAAGTGATATCTGCTGTTGTTAACAAAAGTATTTTTCAAATTTCAAAGAAATCTACCTGTTGCTGTCCAATAAAAACCTTAAGGGCTCGTTATTTTCTAGTGATTAAACTTTTAAGAGCCTATAGTGTAAAAGAATAGCAATAATAACTTTTAATAAAGCAATAATTTAAGCTGAAAGAGAGTAATGGAGGGAAAGCCAAGGCCTTCAGTAAACAAAGTGAAAGGTCTGCTCCTGGATGGCTAGCAGACTCCACCCTCCTGGCAGCAAAGTCTCTGTCCACTATCTGCGTTACCTAGGCAACTGGCACACCTGTAAAAAGTCACATCTCCATCCGCTGAGGTCACATCTGAATTCAATGTGGCCACACCTTTCCCCACCCCTACCCTAGATAAGGCCGAGCCTAGTACCAGATGCTCTCTTTTCCAGGCTTTTACCCAGCCAAGTGTAGTGCCATCATGGCCTGGTGCCAGCCGGAACAATGAATAAACCTACCCCTTACCTGAATACCATGTGTGTGGTGTGGTTCTTACTTGGCCACCTCTTCTTTAAAAACCTAACACAAAGTACTAATCAAAAGGAACCAGTTGATTGCAAATCCAGAGTAAGAACCCAGGGTTTTGAGAAGAATAATTTACTATAGCTGAATCTCAGCATTAAGTAAAAGAAAGCTGGCTGCAGCTAACACGAGCTCATGAGAGCTGATCATACTCATGATTTTCTGACTGTATTGACAACAGACAGCCAACCAATGACATCATGTTGTTAGCTTGAAATCAACCATAATAGGAGTAATTATACCTTGGAAATGGATAAAAGACCCACGTGAATGCTTACCTTATGTCCCTAAGAACATGTTATTAAGCATTTACTAGCAACTACTGACTAGTAAAACCTTTAATATACATAATTTCTTTTTTTTGTGTGGGTTATGGCTTGAACTCTGGGCCTGAGTGCTGTCCCTGAGCTCTTAAGCTCAAGGTGAGCACTCTACCACATCAGCCACAATGCCATTTCCCATTTTCTGAGTGTTTTATTAGAGATAAGAGTCTCACAGACTTTCCTGCCTGGATTAGGTTTGAACTGCAATCCTCAGTTCTCACCCTCCTGAGTATCTAGGATATGTCTGTCAAGTCATTTTTTTTAGCTCAGTTAATTTTATTCACTTTCACTTGAAAATCTGGGGTGTCTGCTTGGGAATTCGGGTCTGGAAGGATTACTTACAATCCACACACCATCAAAGTCCAGCTGGTCATGAAAATCTTTGAACTGATCTTCCCACCACTCAGTAGAAGCTGGATTGCTGAAATCAGGAAAGACTGACTCTCCAGGATATCCCTAGAGAATGAAGCAAGAGGCTCTAGAAATGAATCTGATAGTTAAGTGATCCATTGATTATTGGCAATCATTTCTTACAGGAAACTCTGGAGTACTTGTCATTTGAGAGTCCAAATTTGGAACTCCCCTAACAAAAACTAAGCAAGCAGTAAAATACATACAAGGAAGCAAAGGAAGAAAAAAAAATAGAAGGAAACCTAGGCTTCTCTTAAGTGAAAACCCATCACATATATTTTTCAATGAAGAAAGTAAAATTTTATTACATCAGACCAAGGTAGAGAAGGAGAGGGAGAAGAAGAAGAAGAATGGGGAAAGAAGAGAATGGGGAAAGAAGAGAATGGGGAAAGAAGAGAATGGGGAAAGAAGAAAAAGGGGAAGAAGAAGAGGAAGAGGAAGAAGAGGAAGAGGAAGAAGAGGAAGAGGAAGAAGAGGAAGAAGAAGAAGAAGAAGAAGAAGAAGAAGAAGAAGAAGAAGAAGAAGAAGAAGAAGAAGAAGAAGAAGAAGAAGAAGAAGAAGAAGAAGAAGAAGAAGAAGAAGAAGAAGAAGAAGAAGAAGAAGAAGAAGAAGAAGAAGAATAGAGGAGGAGGAGGAGAGGAGAGATTTCATTGTATAAAATCATAAAATTAAGAAAAGTAAGGGAAGGGGGGTCAAAGGTGGTGACACTGATCAAGAGGCATTGTATTTATAAAGTGCTTTGTTAAATGCTGCCTCCTTTGAATACCTACCTAATTTAAAACACAATTAAATTAAAATAAATAAAATTACATTTAAAAATCAAAACAAAAAATAAAATCCTATGAATCCTAGAGAAAAAGAATGAGTAATGTAAAGAGGTGGATTTGATTAAAGTACATTATATACAAATCTTAAATATCAAAATGGTGCTCCTTTGTATAATTAATTTATACTAATAAGATGTCCCAGAAGTATATTTTGGCTAAGATTAAGATTAAGCATCCTGCTACATTAGTGCAGTTGAATTTCATGTCTTGGAAAAGAGGTAGAAAGAATTTTCTTCTAATCATATATTCCTTTTCAACCATCTGAAATATTAGTAGGTCAGGGACTAGCTTTTTTTTATATCTGCTAGAATTTTAATCATATTACCATTTCCACTATTGGCTTATGAATAGTAATGAGCACAGGGCACGTGAGTGCTTCAAGTGTGTAATCCTTGCTACTTGAAAGAAGAAGACAGAAATTACAGTTCTAGGTCAGCCTGGATTAAAAACACTTACAAGACTCCATCTCAATCAATGGTTATACACAATGGTTCATCTGTAATCCCAGCTACAGGGGAAGATAGTGGCTGTGTAAAGTAGCATACACCTGTCATTCCAGCAAAGTGCAGAAGCACAGGTAGAAGGGTCAAAGTCTAGGCCTAAAGCAAGACTTCATCTTAAAATACCAGCACACAAAAGAGTTTATGAAATGGAAAGGCTCAAGTGGCAGAATGCTTACCTCACAAGAGCAAAGCCTGCACTCAATCCCAACACTGCCCACAAAATATAATGAAGGAAACGTCTAAAATCATGACAGGAGTGGCAATAGTATAACTTCCTTTTCACTCACCTTCATACCAAAGAAACAGATTTCCCCGAATGATAGTCATTTACCCTAAATTTCTAAGAAATTACCTCCCCAACAGCAAAGCCGCTGTTCCCTACGATCCATATTCTCTTTGTGCTTCCCTTGGTATAGGCCTCATAGTCAGAGGATTTGGAGATGCCAGGATTCTAATTTAAAAAAACAGTAGATAAATGTTATTTTTAATAAATTTTCTTTTGCCCTCTGAAAGAAAATAAAATTGGAAAACAGAGACGTGTTTGAACATACCGTGATAATTATATATTTCTGCCCATGGTCATGCAAGTCTGTGACAAAATCTGAGATGTTGGAGTAAGTTTGATGGTCAATAGTGAAATCCTTTTTTCCTTCCATGAGGTCTATGTCTGAGTACTGCACATCCTGAAAGAAAGCTTGGGCCAATTATCATCTAGAGGAATGATCACCAGGTTGACGGAAAGGGTTTTGACTCTGGTGTGACCATTCAAATGGAAGCCAGAGCGAGGAGAAGGAAGGAAGAGATGATGTTGCTCAAGATGCATTGTACTCAGAAACTGACATGCGGAATTGTACAACTATTTAATGATTACACACATACACACACACACACACACACACACACACACACACACACACACGTGCAGCCACATTGCTTACTCATCCAGGACCCTTCAGGGGGGCATGGTTAGTTCTTTGAGAAATGGGGCTCCCACTTAAGACAGAAGCTACCCTAATTAGACCTAGGATAAACACTGTGCTCTGTCTCTGCAAACTGAGAGCCTTTGATGTGTGTAAATATTTTATTTAGATGAGTATATGGATAATGTTATAATTACGTACTACCTTAGACCCCACACATCAAGCCAGAATATAGGGTAAGGGGAAAAGTAGTCTTTTCCCCCTAGAAAACTACTTTGAGGAATAATTAACAAAGATAAATGACAGAGAGAGAGAGAGAGAGAGAGAGAGAGAGAGAGAGAGAGAGAGAGAGAGAGAGCTTTCACTGAGTAAATTTTCTTTTGTTTGCAAACCAATGTATGAGGAGTAGATAATATTCTTAGTGAAAAGATTGACATGTGAAAGGGTTGAGTGACATTTCCAAAGTCATACAACAGAGGGTGGTAGTTGGTCATGAACCCTTAATTCTTCTCTTTCTTCTCCCCAATCTTCCCCTTTCCTCAAATACAAAAGTCCTCTATGCATATTTCATGTGGTCGTGTCTTAAAGGATTCCTGCTGTCCAAACAAGCCCACCTGTCCTGATACTGGACAATCACTTATGACCCAGGTGTCCCTCGCTGTCACATAAAGAGAGAGAAAAGCCCACTTCTTCCTGAACTGTCACCATCGCAGGAAAGCCCTTATCAGAAACAGGACAGAGCGACCAGGCAACCTCCATTCTAACCAAATGCCCTACACCCAAATCAAGAGCAGAGTTTTTAAAAATGAATGACAAGGTTAAAAAAATGTACTTGCACTGGTCACGCCACTGAGCTAGTTGTGCAACCTTGGGAAAATCCTTAAAACATACAGCATCTCCATTTCCTCATTCACAAAATCCTGCTAAATGAGGGCTAACCAGAAATAACAAAGCCCTCTGCAAAGTAAGAAAGGCATAGCCGAATCTGCTCTCAGCCTCCCTAGAACTGGATGCTTTCAGACAGCAGATATGGGGAAAGTAAAATGAAACACAATACATTTCTTTCTCAATATAGAACAGCACAGTGGGCATCTCATTTCTCAAAGGAAGACTCGTTCCGCTGCCTGGCCTTAACAATCTGCCATCTTCCTTCATACGCTCACACATCCACCCGCATTAATGTGCCGAAGTTGCACACAGCTAGCCCCTTATAAGTTCTTTTGATTACTTCACCAACCATAGGCTATGTATCTCCTTGGGAATCTTATCGAATATTCCACACTTAGAAATTATCTTTTGATTTACAGGTGAACATTGAACATCATAAATAATTGTGGCCATAGAGCTTTGAAGTTTATAGTCTATCAGATCCGAGAGGAGTTCGTAAGTTCACCATGAGAAAACCGTTAACTTTAAATTATTATTGTAGTTGCCAGTTCTTACTGGTACATGTCACTTCGGGTGCTACTCTCTCTTGAGAAGTAACAGCTAACTTCGATGGACTTTATTCCCTGACCCAAGTATTATATATTTGCTTTATGAAGTATTTCTTTATACCAGCCCACCGAGTCTTACATTTTCATTTTACCAGTGTGGAAACTAAAATTCAAAGGTGATAATTAATCATCCCAGATTGTGTGGCGCTAAGGAAAAGGCTTGAAGTCAAAGGCAGATCCACTTGACTCCACATACTATGGACTCTCCATGATCAGATGGGTGAGTCAGTGTACAAGTTCATGACAGTAAATATATCTCCCCCGCTATCATCGATCCTTTTCTCTATTTTTCCTAATAGGTTATTTTTGATGCAAAAATAAAAGATTGCAAATGGTGCCTAAATCATAACAAGAGAAGTCCAGCTTACATATGGGATCCCAGCTTTACGATTTCGGTTTACAACCTCTCTCAATCCATGAATACCACCATAATCTCTGCGACTAAGCTGGAACCCAAGACTCCAGTAGGCAGGCAGGAATGGCCGTCCAACAAGCTGGAAAGGGAAGTGGAGAGGGGTCAGTTATACCACTGTGACGACAACCATACTTAACGCCATGACTAACATGGGGACTGTTTGCTCCATTTCATTTCCTACAGAGTCCTCAGTCTAACAACGTCAGAGAATTCCCCCAGGATGATCTGAAAAATGCTACAACTCACATCCGTCTTCACTAAACTCATAAATGCATTCCCAACAACTGCAACATCAGACAGTACTAGGATTTTTAGGAAACACTCAATTAACAGAGTCATCATGGAGGAAAGCAATAATTTTATCTGTTTGGTTGGTTGGTTTAAAGCCGCATATATTGAATCCGGGGCCTTGTACATGCTAGGCAAGTGCTCTGACACTGAGTGACATTCTTAGTCCTGGAAAACTTTAATATTCATTTGTTTAGCGAGAGTTTTCAAAGAATATAGGTATGGAGAACACAGTGATGTAAAGCAAATGTAGCTTCTCACTTTCTAGAACTTAAAGCAAATAAATATACCTAATATCATTTTATAAACTGGAATGTGCAGGGAGAGAGTAATAAGAACTAATAGGATTAGGATTAGGGTGGTTGAAGTAATGTGAAAATAGCTTTGAAATCTGACTTTTCCAAGTAGTTTAAGTCACCACTTTAAGAAGACAGCTGACCAAATCCTGCCACACACTGTTCCCTAAGAGCCAGGTCCATCTAATATGAAGGAGCTTTCTCTCATTCCTCTGAACTCCTTCCATGAAACTGTTATACCTCAATACTAGCACATAGTAAGAGTCCTCCCTATTACAAAGGGTTCAGTCAGTATCATAGTTTCTTCTATTTGATTGTAAATTCACTGGCATCTGGAACTATACTTAATGTGCCTTTGTGAGTCATCTTGAAAACACCATCTTTCTGTGCCTGTGTTTTCTGTCTGAAAAGTAAGAAGTTTAGGCAAAATAGTGTCAAGTCTCCTTTATTCTGCAGTTTGAATCAAATACCAGTTACCTAGCAGTCTTACTTTCACATACTTCCTCTTCACTGAATTTTTACTTGACGATCGATTGGACTTTGCTGATGAGTGGCTGTGGGTCCTTAAACTGATAGATTGTAGCTGGATGAATGATGAGCACCTTGCAAACAAGCAGTGATGAACTTATTTTGCAATTCTCATGGCTCCAAAAGTAGTTTTTACTATGCAGAAAGGGTCCAATAAATGTTATCATAATGTTAACAATGGGAGCATTTATATTCATCCTACTAATAACCTTTATTAGTATTCTAGAAAAGATCAGTGAATGAGATTGTGTATAGGCAAAGCCATACCTCCAGGTACTCCTGGACCACTTGCTCTGGGGTGTCTCCCAGGAACACATAAAAGTCCAATACGCCCCCAATTGTGCGGTAAGTGATTGCAGGAGCAGGCTGCAGGGCAATCTCTGAGAGGATTGACGTGAGGTGTTAGAATGTCATGGCTGAAATCCTGTTTTTTCTCTAAAGCATGAATATCTGAAGCATTCAAAATCATCCCAAGCTCCTTCTCAAATGGAGAAGAATCACACATGTACTTTTTTTATTAGAAGATTGTTGAAGTTTGCCAATGTATTGAATGAGACACCAGTTTAGAATTGAATTCTGTTTTGATTAAGAATAGGTAAATCGAAACTGAATGACATAACAAGAGCAGTGGTGAGAGCGGGAGATATGGGGGAGAATAATGAGAGGAGTGGAAGTGATTTAGAGTCATTGTCCTCATCATCTGACTGATGGAACTGAAATCTCTTTGTATAAATACTTAATAAGAAAAGGAAGATCATAGATTAGGATCATGAGAAACAGCCCACCCAAAACATCCGTTTGTCTAAGGCAGATTTTCTGAAAGGGATGTGTTGAGATATGTCTATCAGTGGATTCTATTATCTACAGAACATTAAGAGACATTAGCAATCAAAGAAGACCTCAGAAGCAAATTTCAGTCAAATGGCTGTAAACATAAGCTCCATGTTCTAGACAGGCGAAAGGACTTTTAGGTTCTAGATTCGATAAAGGCAATGCAGTTTTGATATGCCTCTGTTAAACCATGTTCTCACCATACTTTTATTTTATATGAAAGTAGTGTCTCAAAAGTTAATCTCACTCATGGAAGATACGAGGATGTTCCTTACCCATGGCATTGCTGTTCATCAGAAAAACTCCAAAAGAGGACCCACTGGTGTCTTCCAGGCACAAGAAAAATGTATGTGCTCCGTACAGATTGATCATGCCCTGTCAATGAGAAAGGGGAAAGAGAAATAATCACACTGTATCTAAAAAATTATTCTTCTAGGTATGATGGTGATGTTTCAAATCTCAGCAACTGAGATGTGAAGGCAGGAGGATTACACTTGGGGCTACACAGAGTTCTAGACCAGCCTAGGCTACAAAGCTATACTAACCCATCCATCCTCTTAAAAAAGGTATATACCCATGAGTATACTTGATCAACATTTGATAAAGTATTGTACTGAAAATGTTATCATATTCTTAACATTAATTAGTGGTACAAAGGGACTTCATTTTGAAATGTCCATGTATGCAGGCAAAGTACTTTGATCTGACTCCACCTCTCCCACATCCTTCCTTCCCTTTCTCAAACCAATTCAACAAGCTTTAAAGTCCATTTTCCCACACACACATCAAGTATTTTAACCATAATCTTTCTCCTTCATCCTTTGTATTCACTTCCCTCTTCCCACTAATACCCCCAACTTAGACAGGACTTGTTTTATATTCCTGCCACTCATTATGTTAATGTATACCAGTTGTTCCAAAAACTTTCACATTGATGTTTTGCACACATACATTTACAGAACTTCAGATTGACCCCTCGTTTATTCTCCCTTTCCCTATCTCTGTATTCAACAGCTTTTGACAAGTTTTATTTTGCAATCTTCATTCATAGATGCAATGTATTCCAACATGGTTCACTTTCTAGCAAAAGGGATTGAAATGCTATCATTAATCGATAAATAAAAAATATGGTATATTCATTCAATGGGATATTTTCTTGTGATAATAAGACACAATACATGTTACAACAAAGTACACCTCAAAAATGTTGTGCTAAGGGAAAGAAACAGATATCAAATACCATACCTACATTGCATGATTCTGTTTATAGGAAATGTCTGGGAAACCCAGATCCATAGACAGAAATACTGTTGTCGGCAAGAGGTTGCCTGGAGCTTTTGGACACCCTGGGTTATGAATTGGGGTTAAGTCTAAAGGGGCAAGAGAGACTAGGGGGATAACAAAAACATTCTAAAAGTAGATCCTAGTGATGAGCACAACTCAGCAAGTGTGCTTGAAACCAGTGAATTCTACTTAAAACAGGTGAACTTTATGTGAATGCTATATCCCTACCCTTTATTCTTGAAAGATTAGAAATAAATAAAAAAATGCAGAATATGATGATATTATGAGGACATTTGCATTCTTTCTTAATTCTCAGTGTATTTTCTAATCTTTCTAAACTTAATAGGCAAAAGTAGCAAAGATTCTTGGAACTTTTTAAAAAGACATGGAGCCTCAGAGAAGGCTGTGTTGAGCTCTGACCTAGAAAGAGATAAGGTGTTTGTATAAAGCTGTAAGTGTTATAAAATAGCAGATACTGAGGTGACAAGAGACAGAACATTTTCTCTAATTGCCTGTGGTGTGGCAATGTCACAATCAGCCCACATTATGGGGCAATAGTTCTGATCATGGTATAAATTCCAAAGGGAAAATGAAAGAAAATCAGCATGATGTGCAAAATAGACATGATCAGCAGGCCAGATCTGAATTCATATTTAAGAACAGACATGAAATCAACATTTAAAAGACAGGTAAATGTTTTTAACTTTTTAAGGAAGAAAAGAAATGACTAGAAGAAAAAGGGAGAGAAGAGTGTGAGAGGAAGGGAATAAGGAAAGACAGAAGAGAGCAAAGGAAGGGAGGGTAAGAGAAAAAGAAGGAACAAAGGAAACAGAGGGAGGGAGGGAGCAGGGAGGAGGCAGGGAAGAGAGGGAGGGAGGGAAAACTACACTTAATCTAATCTGTAACTATATAACTTAAGAATTTCAGCTGTAGAAAGTCAAACAGTATGATGTTGAGGGTATTTGCTAGGGCTGTTGACCAAACATTGTAGCTTCATTTTTGTTGTTGTTTTTAAAACATTTTTGTTTAATTCAGTAAGACTATCCCTTCCATTGCTTCAGATATTGGTAGGAGTGTTACACACTAATGTGTTGCTTGCATTGGTTCAACTTTTGCAGAGTATAAACCGCAAAACATCAGCTTCCTCCTCCCTTACACAACACACCTGCAGCTCTTGTAAGGGGTCTGAGAAGGACTGCAGACACAGCGAAGTCTTGGAAAAACACTCTACACGTAAATGTTACTCAAGGCCTTGTCCAAACCTTTACTATCAGCCAGCAACAAGACAAGTGCAAAAATCAAAGGTAAGCATTCAGATTTTTATCATAACAATTTAAAAGAGCAATTTTCAACCTGTTTAATTTGAATGCTCCAGGCTTATAATGTGTATGTCTTTTGGTATTTGTGTTTCATTTTCCCAATGGTGTACCTTAATTGTATTGCACAAAAGTATTGTGCATACTAGAGAGCCAAAAAAAGAAAAGATAAAAGAAGAGACAGAAAAGGTAAACTAAAGATAAAGCTAAGTCTTAACTCCAGGTAAATTGGGAGGAATAGGATGAGATTAGCCCTGCTCCCACTTTAACGCACCTCTGATTCACCTGGAGATCTCATTACCAGGCAGGTAAGGAGATTGGAAATCAGTGGGTCTCAGAGCACCCCTGGTCTGAGTCTACATTCTATCACCAGCAAGATCATGTCAACAGGCCTACGTTTGAAGCACACTTCAACTAGCAATCTACAAGCTGCTAGAAAAGGAGCATTTTTTATCCATGAGATTCCACTGACTTTCTCCCAGTAAACAAAAAGTGATCTTATGACTAGGTTTTCTAATACTCTGTCTTAATTATTAAGTTGCATCTCCTAGTATAAATCAGATCTTATAAAATCGCCATTTCTAGTTGTTCACAACCAGGAATTCCTCAATACCAACACTGCTAGTTAAGCAAAAAGATCTAGTTGTAATACGTAGGCTGTTTGGGGGGAAGAAGGGAGAGCAGAACTGACTGGGACCAAGTGGCAGGACAGAGTGGTGCTCACCGCTGTAGGGGTGGTGTCCCGGGTGAAGATGGGCCAGGTCTTCCAGCTCAGGTCATGGCGGTACCACTGATGGACGTGTTCCCCCAGCCCGTACACATTAGTGCTAGGCAGTCGGAAAGACAGCTGCAGGTACTGCTGGGCGAACAGGAGGGGCCCAATGCCGGTGTCCAACCTGGGCCGTGTAGGGAGAGAAAGAGTTACTGACACCCATTCTTGCCTCTGCCAGTACGCCTCTCCAAAGCACGCAGAACTCAGTTACTACAGGTGTTATCAGCAATTTCCCTGCTACCTTTGATGCCTCTCCTAAGGTGTCTCTATTTCTTTGAATCCAGGGGAGTATTGTATTGAATTGAATTGTACTGTATTGTATTGTAAAGATGCTGTACAGAGGGGTTACAGTTACATGAGTAGGTAATGAGTACATTACTTGTTGATCATCAGAGGAGCATTTTATTGGTGATGGACCCCAGAGGCTTAGATTGAATGATCGGGGGTGGGGCAGAGAGAAAATGTGGGTCTTCAATTTCTGTGCATCTGCTACATACTAGACACTACTCAGAATACTTTCTTTGTAATTATGACTATAATTATTAATATCATCCTTAAGTAGTTGTACAAATAGGCTTCCATTTAGCATGTCAGTTTGTAATACAATCATTCTCCCCCATTTCTCCCAACCCCCCCATCCCCACAATTTCAGTCTCTCCAAGATTATTTTCAAAGTAACACCCCCATTTCCCCTAGCAAAAATGAATATTTTGATCCTCTTTTTGCAGACAAGGAAACAGATGTTGAAGAAATGAGCTCTAGTGCCTTACGTGGCACAGCCAACTGGTGATTTGCTAGTGCCAGGATTTTCTCCTGGCGATCCCTAAGCTATTCACCTCATACTACCACAAGGTGCTAAAGGAGAAGGTTCACAAGACGTGATACTTTGGAACCATAAAAGAATGATGTTGGTATAATTTGTGGAGGGGAAGGGAAAAAACAAATTGTTTAAATAGGGATACAGGTGGACCCATTGCAACAATGAGATGTACAAGACGTTATGTCAAAAAACGAACTTTACAACTTTGGCCGGGGTGGGGGAAGGGGGTAGGGGAGACGTGGGGGCAGCAGGGGTGGGGGGAGAGATTGGAAGGGATGGGAAGGGGAAACAAAGGAGGAGGCAACAATGCTTGATAAGAAATGTACTCATGACCTTGCCCATGTAATTGTAACCCCTCTGTATGGTATTTTCACCATAAAAAAAAAGAAAAAAATAGATAAAGTTTGAATGCCAGTAGGAATGGTAACTGTAAACAAGAAAGCTTCCTGTTTCAAGGTATTTGAACCATGTGTATATATGCATTTTTACAAACATAATGAAGCACTACATCTTTATATTTTTTTGCTCTACAATCATGACAGTTTACCACTGTTAATTACAGTGTGTCATTTGGGATTTTTCTAAAGTTGAAAATATATCTCGGAGCCATAATCATTTACTGTGTACCCCACATGCGTCAAAAATGAATGATGTTCTGACTCCATATGCCAGTAGCTGAAAAAACTCACAATACTTTCTTGTTGCTTTTCCGAATTATTCTGAAGCTAAAGGGCTTATAAGTGACCTCAATGTCGTAGCTCAAGGTAGATTTATCAGCAGTCCTGTTAACGGGATTGATGACCTCGGGAGGGACTTCATAGCGTAGCTCATTGAAGTCAGTTATCTGTCAGGAGAAAAGCAGAAGACCACTTCTTTGTAGAGCCACCAAGGATGTTTCCTCTCAAACAGGCCCCCATGAGAACCATTTCTGATTCGGAATCCTGTGGTTTCTGATGTGTGAGGAGACACCACCCAGCCGCACATGCCCTATCAAGAACAAATTCACCTCTCCATCCCACACAGAGATTCTGAGAGAAAGAAGGGATGCTGTCTGTCTGATCACATTTTGTGCAGTGCATAATGGAGGGTGGCCTGAACCCAGGGCGGAGCACTGTAATCTGCAGAGATCTACCTTGAAATGAAAACGATTGGACGTCTGGCTCTCAGCTGTGAAGAGGGCATTAGCGATATCATCTCCAAATAGAGATGGGGATGGAGACCTTCTCAACCGGGCAGTGAAGTCTAGGGTTTAAAAGGAGGGAAAGAGGGAGTTTTAGCTCTTCTTTTTCACTCACTTATCTGGGCCACCAAGAGTTATTCCCTGAAGCCATGTTGGCGTGGGCTCACCTGTACTTCTATTTGTAGGGCCATCTTGGACTTCGTAGCCCCAGTTCCTGGGGAAGAAGCAACTTGGGATGTTGGGATCTGCCTCATGCTTCCAGCAGCATTTATGTTGCCAGCTGCAAATCTCCTGTAATAAGGGGAAAGAGTTGGCATTCTACAAAGTGAAGGAAGCAATTATTATTTGACTGTTTATTGCCCATTTTAGTCCCAGGAGAATTGAAGGTATGCCATAATGACATTCATTTCTTTATTCATTCCAAGTATCCATCCATCAACAGGCATTCATTACCTACCATTTAAGGAAGGAACTGATGACACAGATTAATAAGACACAGTTTATGCCTTCAGCAAACTGACAGTCAGTCATAAATGAAGACAACTAAAAGAGCTATAATGCGATGAGTTAAGTACTCCAACAGTGTGCCTAGGAATTAAGGAAGCACACACAGCACCCAGGCTGGAAGGCTGGGAGTGGAATGAAAAGGTCCTCTAGGTAGGAAAAAGGTAAAATCAATTCTAAATCACTAGGAGGGGAGACAGATGGAGAGCAAATCAGTGCTCCAGGCAGAGAAAGTAGCAATGCCTGATTGCTCACGTAACTGTAACCCCTCTGTACAGCATTTTCATAATAAAAAACTTATAAAAAATTGTGTCAAGAGCAATGAGCTCTTGATCAAAAGATAAAGAAAGATGCTCACTAAGCTGGCAATGTGATTCCAGGGAGTGGAACAGCAAGTAGAAAGAAAACTTTTTTTTTACAATTTTTATTGTGATTAAATGACTACATAAATTTCACAAATTTCACAGTATTGTGGGACAGGGATACTTAGTTCAAGTCACAAACATATTCTAATCTTCATGGGGCAAATTGGACTAGGTAAGTTTTAGATCAGTTTTCAGTTCTTCATTGCTATAGGACAAAATTGTCTGATTGAAAAGTGTCATAAAAACTTATTCGACATGAAATATACTGACAATTCATCTACTGAGGGGCATCTGGGTTGGTTCCATATCTTAGCTATGGTAAATAATGCTACAATAAGCATAGTCATGCTGGTAGCTTTAGTATGGTCTTGTTTGTGATCATTTGGGTAAATGCCCAAAAGTGGGATTGCTGGGTCATAAGGGAGCTCTATGTGGAGTCTTTTGAGGAACCTCCATACTGATTTCCAAAGTGGTTGAACAAGTTTACACTTCCACCAACAATGCATAAGGGTTCCCTTTTGGTCACATCCCCTCCAGCATCTGTTGTTATTAGAGTTCTTGATTATAGCCATTCTAACTGGGGTGAGGTGGAATCTCAATGTAGTTTTGATTTGCATTTCTTTTATGGCTAGAGAGATTGAGCATTTCTTCATGTGTCTATTGGACATTCTTATTTCCTCTTCAGAGAAGTTTCTCTTTAAGTCTTTAGCCCACTTATTTATCGAGCAGTTGTTTCTTTGAGGATTTGTTCTTGGGGGTTTTAATTTTTTGAGTTCCAAGTATATTTTAGATATGAGACTCTTGTCTGTTAAATGGCTAGTGAAGACCTTCTCCCAATCCGTGGGCTTTCTATATAGACAATGGAATTCTATGCCTCTATTAGAAAGAATGACATCATCCCATTTGTTAGGAAATGGAAAGACTTGGAAAAAATTATATTAAGTGAAGTAAGCCAGGCCCAAAGAAACTTAAGTCCCATGGTTTCCCTTATTTGCAATATAAGATGATGTTAAGCGAAATGAACCCCAAGGTAAGGACACAAGTGGGTTTTTCTTTCTTGCTATTGTTTCTTACGTATTTATAAGGCACCATGTGATTTTTTTTGTTGCTTTGTATATCCCTCCTCCACGATATAAGCCCTGGTTTCACTGTGTTTGATGTTGGTATAATTGGGGGAAGGGAAAAAACAAATTGTTTAAATAGGGATACAGGTTAACCCATTGCAACAAGACTCGATGTTGAAAAACGAACTTTATAATTTAGGCGGGGGAGGGGGGAGGGAGAGAGAGAGTAGGAGTATAGTTGAGGAGGTGAGAGGGAAGGGATGGTAGGGAAAAACAAAGGAGGAGCAACAATGCTGGATAAGAAATGTACTCATTACCTTGCTCATGTAACTGTAACCTCTCTGTTCAGTATTTTCACAATAAAAAACTTATTTAAAAAATATATAGACAAAAACTCTTGAAAAAAGTTTTGTGTTAACATGAAAACAGAGATAAAGAGACTTGTGAGTGAACATGATTGTTCAGACTACAGTTTACAAGAGTATTATTGTATTTTCAAATCAATACTTCCTTGCTTTATTCTGTACATAACTATTCAAGCCTGAATCTTATTGAATTCAGTGTGGGTTGTGTTAACTTCAGCATTGGTTGTGTTATTTTTAAAAAATAAAGAAGATGTCACAACACCACTTGCCTTAAATATGGATAGTACTGAAAAACATTTCACATGTCAATATCTTCTGGCATTGTTCTGGAAAGTCCTGACATGAATTTAGTACATTTCATATGTACAATGAAAAGGCATTGTCGATATGCCATCACTTAAATATTTATTCCTCATAGAATAAATAGAAGTTATTCATTCTCCATAGAATGAAGCATTTCTATCTTCTTTTCAGATAAGAAACTTCCTAGAAGGGATCAGCAAAGAATTTGGAGCCTCTGGGTGGCCTGGGAATTACTAAGTTTTTCTAAGTCTGGGGCAGACAATGATCATCTCTGCCACCCCTGAAACTGAAGTCTGTAAAGTCCAGAGGGTGAGTTTCACTGTTACAAATGGTTTCAAAGTCTACAGATCTCAGAAAGGGCAATAAACATTCAAATCAACACAATATCTTCCTGTGTAACCTGCTCTGATATCCTTCTTTCAGTCCCAGAAACTAAAGTGTCTTGGGGATAATTACTTAACTATTATTTAAACTCTATATCTCTTCCAACACACACACACACACACACACACACACCACATATACACACATGTGTATTATATATAATATAGATGCATATTATATATCATATATGTACATGACATAACATATATAAGCTATTCCTATTATATATTATGTATTATACATATTAGTATATAGAAACAATATTACTTTCCTTCTTTTCCAGTCTCACAATAATACAGACTCCTGTAAACTATAGTCTGAACTATCGTGTTCACTCACAAGTCTATTTATCTCTGTTTTCTTGTTAACACAAAACTTTTTTCAAGAGTGTTTGTCAGTATATTTTATGTCAAATAAGTTTTTATGGTACTTTTCAATCAGACAATTTTGTCCTATATCAATGAAGAATTGAAAATTGACTTAAAACTTACCTAGTCCAAGTTATATTTGATGCAAGCGTTTCTTCAATTAAGTCTCTAATGGATGCTTAAATTCTATAAATGATGCATAACCAACTGCCTCCAAAATCAAACAATCCTTTTATATTCATTGTTTTACTAAAATGTTATGTAACATTTGCTTAGAGAAAAGCAGCCTCCAGAAAGTCCAATTTTCTAAAACATACCATGGTTGTGCATCTCCTTTTTGATGTACCACCTCAAGCTATATAGAAATTTTAGAAAGGAAAAAGAACTTTGGTGTTTTGAGATAAAAAGATAATGAGACGTATTAGAAAACTACTTTAAAACCTTATTATTTGATGTAGCATTGCTATATCATGAGATTCCAAAAGATTCCACAATAAAAGAAACAGAAATGGGCCAGGCCCTAATGGCTCACACTTTTAATCCTGGCTACTTGGGAGACTGAGATCTGAAGATCACGGTTCAAAGCCAGCCTGGGCAGGAAAGGCAGTGAGTCTCTAATTAACCACCAGCAAGCCAGAAATGGAGCTGCAGCTCAAAGTGGTAGAGCACTATCCTTGAGCAAAAAGAGTTCAGAGACAGAGTCCAGACCTGCAGTTGAAGCCCCATGACTTCATGGGGGGGGGGGGCGGAAACAGAATTGATGAATAAAAAAAAAGTTATTTTGCAGTTATTCACTAAGCGCAAACTTGTGTCCTACAACCTGGAAATTCCATTCCTAGGGCCAGGCCAATGGAATCCTCCATGTGGTCACATGGTCACCAGAACACGTGCTGTTTAGTGTTCCTGGCAGCACTATGGAAACATACTTATCAAGAGTATAGTGGATTTTTACAAAATTGTGTTTCATTTCATACAGTGAAAAACAACATGGAAAAAGGATGAAATTCCCATAACTACGCCCAACACTAGGATAAATCTAAGAATTTCTCTAAGGCTACATCGAAATCTTAGGACAACTCTAAGTTGATTAGCTTGAAAGTATGAAAAGTGAAACGTGCTGCTATAAATATTCTAGTCAATGGGAGAATGGTTAAAGAAACCGTAGCAACTCATCTGTTATTCTTTATTTGTTATTACTTATTTGTTAAAAATAATTTTACATACAATGGAAATATTTTAGAATGGAAATTTCTGAAACTATTGAGATATTAATCTTGCTTAACTTAATAAAAATTCAACATAGTCCTAATTAGTAGGATATTACAGGGTATAGAATGCAAACTCTGGGTGAGCTAAAGAAATAGCTCACTTTGCCTAAAAAAATAGCTTTTTAGGCAAAGTTGCCTAGGCAAAGTCAAAGTTGTTTAGGCAAAGTCACTATGTGGAGTTCAAATCGTTGATATTGTTATGGAATCTAATTAGGGAGGGGAGAAAAATCTGTACTTTTGGCCACGTTTTTGGGGGGACTTGCCAATAATAATTCTAGAAGGCTCTTCTTAGAAAAGTTACCTGAGTGCCGCAAGTGCCCAGGGTTCCACATGGCTTGATGGTCTCATTTCCAAGGAAAATAAAGTGCAGCTGTCAGACACCTAACTTTCCATGCTCAACCTTGAAGTCCCAGTTATGATCCATTTAGCCACGTTTGTGCCTTTCCTCCTCTTTTGGACTTTTAGACTTTTATCTCCTCCTATTGTTATCTCTTTTTTAATTCTTTTACCTTGTTTCCCTCACTTCCTTATTACCAATGTCTATTTCATTAGGACTAGAAATAAATGCCTCCAAAGAAATGGCAGATCCATAAGCCTCCCCACTGAACATACTCATTTCTTCTTCTTATTATTAAGTAGCTGTACAAAGGAGTTACAGTTCCATACGTCAGGTTTTGAGTACAATGCTTCTTTGGTCAATGTCACCCCTTTCTTCGTCCTCCCCCATTTCCTCCTCCCATCCCTACCCTTCAATAAAACCGAGTGAGGCCCCAGCAGAAACCTCATTGCTCTGACCTCTGTCACCATCTTGCCTGGTGCGCAATCAATCCTTTCTGACACAGGGATCTCTGGGCACTCCGGAATAAATGAAGTGTCTGCAGGGAAATTCAAGAATAAAGTTGAAATTTTTCAGGGAAATCACAGAAGCAGAAAAGGAGGGATCAGTTACAGACTTTTACCCAGTTCTTTTTTTTTTTTTTTTAATTTAATTTTATTTTATTTGAGAACATACTGTACAGAGGGGTTACAATTACATGGGCAGGATAATGCATACATTTCTTACCAAGCATTGCAGCCTCCTCCTTTGTTTACCCTTCACCTCCCTTCCCACCCTCCCCTCTCCCCCCCACCCAATGGTTCAATATACGCAAATCAATTAATATTATTCATCACATCAACAGGAGCAAGAATAAGAACCACATGGTTATCTCAATAGACGCAGAAAAAGCATTCGACAAGATCCAACACCCCTTTATGATGAAGGTTTTGGAAAAATTAGGAATCCATGGAACATTCCTCAATACAATAAAGGCTGTATATGACAAACCTACAGCCAGCATTATACTCAATGGTGAAAAACTAAAGCCATTTCCCCTTAACTCAGGAACAAGACAAGGATGCCCACTCTCTCCACTTCTCTTCAATCTAGTATTAGAATGCCTAGCTACAGCAATAAGACAAGATGCAGACATAAAGGGGATCCAAATAGGGAAAGAAGAAATAAAACTCTCCCTCTTTGCAGATGACATGATCTTATATTTAAAGAATCCCATAGACTCCACTCCCAAATTACTCAAGCTGATTCAAAACTTTGGCAAAGTAGCAGGTTATAAAATTAACCCCCCAAAATCAATGGCTTTTCTGTATGCCAACAATGAGAAAAGTGTGGCTGAAATTAGGAAAGCAACTCCATTTGTAATAGCCCCACAAAAAACAAAATACCTAGGAATTAACTTTTACCCAGTTCTGAAATGAACGCATCACAGGCAGCCAGTCATGACCTCTGCACACATGTTTAACACGTCTCCAAAGATTAAAAGTACTTGATTTCTTGTTTTTTTAAAAAAAGTTGTTGATAGGTTGGTTTTTAGAGACTGAAGTCTCGTAGTGCAAAATGCACCTTAATAAAATGTACAGTTCAAATACTTCACAGAGTGGCACCATCAATAACCAGTGACTAATGTTAAAACATTTGCATCATGCTGAAATCATACGCTCGAGTGATCATTTCCCATGATCCCCTTCTCCCAGGATTTGGTAAGCATTCATTTGTTTTCTGTTCTGTGGATTCACTGATTCAGAGCATTTCATGTAAACAACATCATAAAGTAAGTGGTAAGTGTGTGTGTGTGTGTGTGTGTGTGTGTGTGTGTGTGTGTGTGTGGTGTGCCGTAACAGAGAAAGAGAACAAACAGTTCCAAGCATTTATAGAAATATCATAGCTATTTCAGTCCTATATAGTACAATGCAATCCACCCTGAACTTCCCTGTGACTAAGATCCTTTACTGTAGTGCAATGGAGTTGGGAAGCATCACCTTAGCTGGAGGCCCTTCTCATTGAGGCCTCTATTACTTATATGATACTGGCTGAAAGGTAGGTATCTAATGAGTCTAATTTTGCATCCTGTTAAAAATGCACCAGGTAGGGCTTAGGAGAATCTGAGTGTCATGAGCTTTCAAGGTTTAGTTGTAAAAACAAAAAAAAAAAGAACTCTTATCTTAGAGATTGACTTAAATTAATTGCGGACATGGATTTTTGAATGCTGCCATACAGCCACACACTGAAGAATGAAGACATCAAATGATCTCATTGGCATTCAGAGCACTTTTCCCTTAACCATTCTTCCCATTCAGCAGCCCCAAGATCTCCTTTACCTGAAGGTTTCTCCAACACAAGAAGCAGCAAGAGGACATCCAGGACGAGTACAACTAGGATGTAGACAATCAGAAGTATTTCCAATGCACTGAGCTTCCCCGCCATCTAGATGGACACAGGTAACCAGATCAAAGCAAAGCACAGAGTCAGATCAATCCACGCGAATAGATAAGCATTGTGTCAAAGCGGTACATTGGCTTATGCCTGAAATCGCAGCTACTTGTGAGGCACAGCTAGGAGGATCCTGGTTTGAGGCCAGCATGGGCAAAATGCTAGCAAGACTCTATCTCAAAGAACAAACTGGTCATGGAGGTTCACACCTGTAATCCCAGCAGGCAGAGATAGTAAGGTTTTAATAGGAGGCCATCCCAGGGGAAAATTTGCAAGACCTTATCTGAAAAATAACCAAAGCCAAAAGAACTGGGGAAATAGTGTGATTGCCTAGCTTGCCTGAATTCAATGCCCAGTACTGCTGCAATCAATCAACCAATGATCAGTTAATCAATAAAAACAGTATATGAAATTTCTGAAGACCACTTTGATTATCAGCATCATCCAGAGAATATTTGTGGCTGCCATCAACATGTTGCTCACTAACTCGAGTCTTTGCATCTAGCACTTCTGGAACTCTTATCTTTCTCTCTGAAAAGATAGGGAGTAGGTATATGTCAGGAAAAGTATGTCATCCATAACAAGCAGCGAGAAGGGAGAGTATGAGGGGAGGAAGCGGTTCACAAGGCCCTCTCCCATGCCTCTTCAGCCCTTCAACCTATATGTTCACTGTGAATAGTTGTAAAGGGAGAGAAGAAGCAGGAAAAAGGGAACCCAAGCTGTTGTCTCCTACTTCCTGAGGCATGACACCAGGGGTGTTTAGCTGCTGAGAAGACACTGAGCCTATGAAGAATCTGGCAAAAGAAACAAACCTGATTCTGGTCCCCAACACAATACCTACTTGGGCTCTCAGATACTTACTGTATTGCAAGGTGGAATGAACAGGAAATCAAGGGACTCGAATTCCTGGCCTAGTTTTCTAATTTGACAGATAAGCTGTTTATCCATTGTGTTTCTTCATCTACAAAACTGAGGTCAGGTTGTCGGAATCTATGAGAATCCCTTGGAGTCTGACATTTTTGCTCGACTTCACACAAATCTAACGTGATTTTCATCTCATAGCTCTAGGGCAGTTGGACATTCCAATACCCATGAGTCCACCACCCTTCCCATTCCACCGTGCACACCTCATCTGATGTTATCTTCCTGCGGTGTTCTGCTTCCTAAATTCTGAACCTTCATTCTCATTTACTCCTCACAAGCTAGGTCCTCCTTTTACCTCATTCCGATCTTCTTTGTTGTTCGATCATATCTGGGTTTCTGTCCCTTTTCCATTTTCCTTGTTCTCTGAGTCCTTCCTGGAGCCTGGATTTCATTCCTACCTAGTAGGCCTCAATACCTATTCTTTAACTTGCCATGGGTATCATCTTTCTTCTGTATTATCTACTAACAAAAACTATATAATGAAGCCACTAGACTGAGCGTCTGCCTCTGGATTGACAAGCCATTGCCATGTTAAAAGCCACTAGGGATCACATTTTCCCCCCTTATTTTCACTGCAGCAGTTTTGTTTGTTTTGTTTTTGTTTTTGTTTTTGTGCTTGAACTCAAAGAATTGTCTGTCCCTGGGCTTTTGGGCTCAAGGCATGCATTCTTTCAGTTGAGCCACTTTACTAGCTTTTGGGTAGGTTAATTGGAGGTAAGAGTTTCACAGACATTTCTGCCTGGGCTAGCTTTGGACTTTGATCTTCTTGCTACTTTGAGTAGCAAGGATTATAGGTGTGAGACATTGACCCAGCAAGTAGCAGTTTAAACAACAACAACAACAACAACAACTAATTCTTCTTTCCTAGACCCAACCTTGGTCATCAGCAACATATTATTTTTTATTTTGTTCTCTGAATGAGAGATAGCTCTATCCCTACTTGTTACTTTTCCACAATATCATCCCCAATGTTTGTGGAAATCATCTTATCTTCTCACAGCTCTACCCACAATTTTTATTTTAAAAATGCATAACTAGATAAATTCCTGTTTATCCTCTGATCTCAATGTAAGTTTCCCTCTTCTTAGCCATGCACAATCCTACATACTCTCTAGTTTTCACTATTTTTAAATGATTGTTGTATGCATTCTTTCTTTCCTTTCTTGTTTTATCAAACTATCCCTCCCAACATGTTTTTCCTCTTCATAGAGAGATGACAAGTCTCCTTAGACCACCCATGACTCTGTCCTTGTCAAGATAGCATTTTAGCTTTCAGTTTCCTTTCACAGCTAACCTTCTATAAAGATCATTACACCTTGCTCTTCTCACTTCCTCATAGGTAACTGGCATGCCTTGTGTTTTCTACATTCCCATGACATGACTGCTTTTGCCTGTCAGCAGTGGCTTGGCTGCTAAACACAGGGGGTACTGTCTTCATTACCCAGCCCAAACACCTCTCTCTCCTCCTTGACACTCTCTACCCGCAATGTCTTGTATTTCTTTCAATCTTGGTTTTCCTATGGTCTCTTAACTCTTCTTGGATTAAGTATTGATAGTCCTGGAATTTTCATACAACACTCCTTGAACAATCCCCTAGATTCATGTAATTTCATATGGCATCTGACAATTCATCCTGCAGTTCTAGCCCAGAGATTCAAGTTCATCTAGTCCTGAGCGATATCTAGTATGTCCCAAACATCCAACCAAAATGAGCAGGTTTAGACATGAAAGCGTCTTTCCCCACACTCCAATTCCAGTTTCGCCCTATCTGCCAATCAATTACTCCTCAAATAATTCGTAGTTTGAAGAAACCCCCAAATTTTCATCTAACACATACTGGGAAACTTTCTGATTTCTCTCTTTCTGGAGCCATTACTTTCTAGTAGACAGTTACTCCCAGTTCAGTTGTATCTTTGGTTCATTTTCCCCATGACCCAGCACAAATAAGGTCATTAAATCTCCTATAGTGAAATCTTAATTGTTCTCTAGATAAACTATAAATCAACCTTGGGCTCAAAATTTTTATGATTCCTCTCATGCCCAGGTGCTTAATGCCTTCTGTCCATATTCTCACCTACTAAACCACCACCAATGCACCAACAGCCAACCAATGTGCAAAAGAATTCATTAGGTTTTGTTTTATGTTTTGCTCTTCCTCTCACTTTACATTTCCCTTTGCTTTTGCCCTTCTGCAAGACAACACTATGGCTATTTATTTCTATTAGTATTCCAACATTTAATGGAGGCAACCTTTGAATTAGTGTGTAATAATCCAAAAAAAGGAGCATTTTAACATTTAAATGAGAGTGGAAAGCAAGGATCAATAGATAATTTACCAAGAAGGATTTAGAAAAAAATCCTTAGCTCTTAGAGAAACGGGGCCAGGTGATTGAAATTGAGATTTATTACCTATTCTACCCTACGAGTCTAAAGCTATCAAGTGTCTCTTTTACAGTACACATCATTTTGAAGATTGATTCTATTCCCCACAAAACATAGATCACATTGTTTGTTTTTAAATCATTCATCAAAGTTGAGCTAGAAGGCCTCATAACTTCCATCTCATAGATGGAGCATTTAAAATTCTATTTAACAGTGATTTGTGTTGGAATTGAGGTAACACGGACACCCCCTCTTTCCTAAGCCAGTACTTGAGTGCTTTCTTTGCATCTCTCAGAGAACAAATCATCCAGGGTGGGATTTCAGGCCCTGAAAAAGAATCCATAGGACTCACCCAAACACTCATAATTCCTAGCCTGGTTTCTCTTACACAGTGCTTACAAGTCAGCCTACAACACAGCAGACACCTTGATCATCAAAGTGCTTCTTCTTCCCCATCTTATTTTTCTCCATGAGAGATTTTTCTTTCCAGCCTCCAAGACCCAGAGGCAAGCACCACTGCACAACTCCTTTATTTTCCCAAGGAAGCAGGTGCCACATGGTAGCCCTGGGAGTTTGAATGCATTTGGGGGGAACAGTTTCAGGCATTTTCCTACCAGAGAAGCTATGGCCATCCAAGAAGAAGGTAGAAGTGGGGATTTGTAAAAGCGAAAATTCGCCCCAAAGCTAGATACATCCATGTCCTCTGAATCCAAACCACCTCCAGTCCCAGGATTCCCTGTTCTTTCCACGGCTCATTCCACTGAGAGCTGATGTCTCACACCAGACCCCTTCAAACACACACACACACACACACACACACACACACCTCTACATGTTCCACCTCACCAGTGTTCCTCAAGTCCAGAAGAAAAACAGTGGCATCTAAACCACCTAACAGAGGAGCAAACTGGAAAATTTATGAAGAGATTCCAATTCCTCAACGCACTACTTTCATGGAAAAAGGACTCACCTCATATCCTTGCCTTTCTCTTTGCTGGGTCTATTCCTCAGCCTTGTCCGAGGAGCCCTGAGCAAAGGGTGACTAGGCTGATCAAGACAGCTTCTGTCTCAATTGATTTACTGCCCCATAAAGTTGATAGCCATTAGAGGAAAGGAGTTCATTTCTCAATAGCCATAAAAGAGTTGGTGCTTTTCATGAGGCAAGGAGAAAGCTCCACTTGATAATAAAAGAGGAAGACAAGTTATGTATCTGGGGTTTTTTCCTCCTAATTTTTTTTCCAAAGTTTCTACTTTGTGTTCCTCTTCCTATTTGATTACCATGCTTTCCACATGATGTTTTATTTGCTTATCTGCCCATGTCAGCAATGTAAGTGCTCAAGGGTTAAGCTCTAGCTATCTTTTCTGTGATTTTATCCCCTGGTTACCACTATATGTCACACGGACAGATGTTTTTAAAATAGATACCTATTTCTGAATTGGTGTATGTTGAACAAGTAATTCTTCATTTGTCACACTGTTCCTTTCTCCATTTGATCTTCTAGAATTCTCCTGGTTCAACCTATCTTTCCATCAATTTAAATACCCCTTTCTCCCAATCGTTAAGACAAACCCCATTAAAGCAGCATTTACAGAACCATGAGGTGTGAAGACAGTGTAGATATTAAATGCTAAGACCCCTAAATATCTACTTATATTCACTGTGCCCTCTGACTACTCATCATCTTTAA